AAAAATATTTAAACTAATTCAAGTTCTAATAATCAATAATTCAATTATATTAAAACCCTTTTTCAAATTAAAATGATTTTGATAAAGATATTGTAGATTGAAATTCGAATTTGAAATTGAAATTGAAATAAAAATTGATGAGAAGTTAAAATCATGAATTTTTTTTTTGGAAAACACGTTATTAAACTGGGTGTAGTGGTCAGTGCTCAATCTCATCCCCGGATAATTTTACCGATATCATTCTGTAACTTGTACTTGAGTACCACAAATCAAACATCCAACCACACAGTATGCGACTACGTCTGAACAGTATAATATGTCAATCAATATGCACATATCAGTTCCCCCATTCGATTTCTACACGCAGATACCATAACTTACCATCTGTTCCAACAATTAGTTGTTCTTTCGATGAGGTCAATCTCGATGAGTTCAGGCAAAAAGCATTCATTCCTATGAAGCCTGTATTCATGAGATCAATGAATAACGAATCTTCAACGAGCCCAAAGAATGATACCTCAATTAGTGTAGCCGCCAAATGGTTTGTGCCTGTTTCTTCGACGCAATCTGCAAATCTGGTTCCACCCAGTGAGACCAACACTCTTGCGCCCTCAAGATATCTCCATAGCTTTGCAGATACAATCCTTCCTTACGAATTGACCGTCGACTCTATCAATATGCGAAAACAACTTGAGTGGTTCATGCAACCCAGCAAGAACCTCGTTGAATTCTCGGAGCAGCTATGCCGGTCACTGGAGCCTTACGATTCCCACAAAACATTCTATCATTTCCATGCACCATTTTCCCTCTTTCTCTGTGCCACTCACCCGACCTGTTCACTTCCCCTCTATATTGCACAAGCACAAATAGCGGATTTGCCGAGCGAATTACAGGAGGATTTACCTGCGCCAAAAGTGGTGAAAGAAGCTGGGAAAGGTGATATTTACGATGCCAATATATGGATGGGCACATCGACTAGTTATACGCCATTACATAAAGATCCAAATCCGAACCTTTTCGTACAACTAGTGAGCAAAAAAAAGGTCAGATTGTTCCCACCGAGCATTGGGAGGGGAATCTATCAAAATGTGCAGCAAAATATTGGTGCGTCAGGAATTGCCAGCATGAGAGGTGAGGAGATGATGGAAGGGCCAGAAAGATATCTCCTGGAAGAACGTGTTTGGGGAGAGGGGGTCACAGACGAAGGGTTCGAGGCTGAGGTCGGCCCCGGAGATGCCTTGTTCATACCGAAAGGATGGTGGCATAGCATAAAGAGTTCGGAGAGTGGGATTAATGCGTCGGTGAACTGGTGGTTCAGGTGAAGTACATGATATTCATATACACTTCCCTTTCTGTCACTCATGTCTTTTGCATTTCCCCTTGCAAATTAACCTTCAGTGGCAACAGACCATTTCTGTCGCCGTTCACCTCTGACCGACATGGCCTTCCTACTGTGCAGCTTTCTTCTGCTTCAACCTTTTGAACAAACTCAAATCTAGTGGAAGTTGCTCTCCCATCCAGATCGCTCTTTGCGTATGATCTCTTTCTTCATCTAATGACTCTCCTTTTTCATCAACGGTATTAGGATGAATCAATGCGCTCAACGGACCCCTGTTGATTACCAACCAAGGTATGAAAGCACCAAATTGTTCGGGAGTGAAGAGGTTCACTTCAAACATCGCAATAGGATGAGGCCCAATTGGTTCTTCCCAGAATCTGTAGACGCGGAGCTCCGGGACTATATCCTCAATCAGTATTGGCGGAACGATCAAGGGGACTAACTATAGAGATGCAATCTTACACTCTCTTCTGACTCTCTCCCATAGTTCTCTAGCGAACTTAGCCTGCTCTTTGTTCTTCTGAAAATGATAGATATGCACATCACTAGCTGCTATTAGCATCGTTCCTATGAATCATAGCCATTTAGCTTCAAAAAAAAATTGAAAGTAAAACCCACAATCCACCCCGTATTCCGCTATCCAAAGGCTCAGTAAACTTCTCATAGCTCTTGCTCTTAACTCCAGTCTCTAGGTTCACGAGACTTTTTCCGTCGGGTGATAGCTCCGTTCCGAGCGGGGTTAAGTTCTCGTAGCCGGCTAGAGGTGAGGGGTATGTGTAGAGGGACGGGTCGGCCATTGCGAATCTGATTTTGATACGAGGATGGATAGATGATAGATATCCAGGATATTGCTAAAATCTGTATCTTGGAATTTGATTGTGTTAAAGAACAAATTACTGGTAAATAACGAGGATGTTATCAAATGGCGAGGCTGATATCTTTAATAATGAGGGGCAGAGACATGTGAATTGGTCCCACAAGAATGGTGCAAGCTGGGTGATGAATGATGATATGTCAGCTGGCAGTTATTTAGGTAATCAATCAATCAATCACCAATCATTAGAAAGAACTACCTAGTACTAGGTACTTATTGTTTGCTGCGGAAACAGCTATGATTGGTCTCCTCACAGCGTTACCATGAACGTGCAAACGATCCCTTGCAATCGTTATCTCTACAACATCTCGTTTGTTATTGACCAGAATTACATTACGACTCCACATACATCACTTATCACTTATACAACGGCTGAGCCTCGTCGCGTCTGTTGGTTCCCAATTCGTCATGTTGCTTTGATGTGGATCTTCGATAATTGAGCGCCATCATATTAAAACTTAAGAGGGGTCACCCACGATTATACATATCGACTATTCGATATCTCTCGGCTCGGCATAGAGCAAAACAATGTATAATGAGTGGTATTACTATTTTTATTTATGATTTGCTGACCGCTTACCAAGTTCTCTTGGTTCTTGGTAATGTCAGGTATCTCATCAGCCTTACCAATCGCCGTTCATAGCTTTCGAAATGTTCCGCCTGGGGCCTCCCTTAAGTATAACACGGTCACCCGCTTGTGGCTGAATCTTATACCGATCACCTCACAGTTATCTGATGTCAGCGTTCTGATTGGTAACTTTACGTAAAATTGGTTTACAATTACGCCCTGGATTGGGGTTTAAACGAACTCGCACAAGTTTCGATTTGAAAGTCCTCAAAGTCCTCAAAGTCCCCATGTCTTTCGGACTCTGTCTCTACTCTGCTCAATGTTGCCAATTATTCCCCGAAACCAATAAGGCAGGTATGATGGGGTGGTTAATATTACCAGGGAGCCCCTTTTCCGCGAATTAGCCTGAGATACCGTATGAAAAACCAATTAGCCTACGTTATTTCGATCTCAGTGGATTCAGTGTGTCTACTTGTTGAAACCGGGGTACGTATGGGCGGGGAAGCTCATTTCCAATTTCGATGAAGTACCGGTTGATTCTTTGTTAAAAATGCACCGAGTAAACTCTTGATTGCAAGACCGCGTGAACATGTTACACATATGCCTAGCTGCCTTAGTAACTTCCAAAGCCACGATTGATCATCTCACAGGGCTGACTAGAAGCTCTCTTACTTTGTACCATAGAAGCCTTGCAAATAAGTAAGAACTCAAGTACTTCACCCAGCCACACTCGATCGTGCGTGCATTTAGGTTCGGCAGACTGGAGCGCGGGGCTCGTTAATGTGAGAGGGTCGTCATCCTGGCTGACAGGAAAATGCACGTTGTGGTCTATGCTTTGCCTGAATTCCGGGTCTACTGAGGTACTACTAACGATCATTACAGGGCTTGAGATCTGACTCTTCAATGGTCAATTCTGCAATACATTTTCGGTAGGTCCGATGAACTAGCAGAACCTCTCGGATATCTCAAATTAAGACCCCAATAGTTCATTAAACTTCAGTTCTTCCTTGTATCATATATTGATATCCGTTATGCAACAAAGACACAACATCAAGACATATGAAGATCTATTTCATGGATATTCAGCACTCGAATTCCATGTCACCCAAGTTTTCTATCAAGCACACTCCATACTGGCTTTTGCATTGTGATGGCGCTTTCTGGAACTTCATCTTTACCGGGCTCAATGAAATGGGATTCAAGAATCTCATTCATAGACGCCACCGCAAATAGATATGAGCGGCTATCGGCCCCGGAGGATGGACTGCGGTCAATTAAAAGAGCTAGAGCAAGCAAACCTAAGGTCAAGTCTGGTTGTATTACATGCAAGTGAGTTTCATTCTACTCGACTAATTGCCTATTCGTGGAAAACTAACACTGGGGTTTTTAGGGCTCGTCGTGTCAAATGTGATGGTAAGCCTTCTCGCGTCTCGTCAATGTAATGAAGTTTTGGCTATTTCCTCCGAGGTACCAAAATCGAGCAGCGTCGTAATTCTTTCTTTAAATACCAATACCTCGTATGATTTGCGTCTAATGTCTAATTCATCTCAATGATCAATAGAGACGAAACCACAATGTCTTCGATGTCAAAAGTTCGGACGAATATGCGATGGGTACGCGCACGAGATCCCATCACGAGGAAATATGATGCCGATCCAACCTCGAATTCCAACAGCAGATTTTTATACTCCTAGTATTTCTCTCGAAGCAACAGAGGAGGAAGGCCGGTACTTCCGATACTTCTGTGATCGAACAGCATATCAATTGCCTGGTTATTTCGACCCCACTTTTTGGAATCATATAATTCTTCAAGAGAGTCACCATGTCACCCCAATTCGACATGCAGTAATCGCTGTTGGGGCTCTCAAAAAAGCCATCGAAGAAGCATCTGGACCGCATCTGAAGATTAATGTCATTCAAGATATCAATAAGAAACATTATGAATTTGCCGTCTTGCAACATCTCAAAGCCATTCAGGCTCTGAACCAATACATATCTAATTCCAATGGGCCACAACTGAGGACGGCTCTCATGGCATGTTTACTCTTTGTTTGCTTTGAAACTATACAAGGAAGTTATGCTTCATCCGTACAGCAAACATACGGAGGCTTGAAGCTCCTGAGAAGCTATTATGCTGGAAAACCTGGATCGAAGCCATGGATTCCACGGCGTATCTCAGCTAGCTTCAATACTAAACCCCAAACCGATAAGGTTATGGCAAAACTCCATAGTCGGCTAGGTATGGATAGTTCCTCTAAGTCGGCAGCCATTTCATCGCACATTGAGGAATATCTGGAAACTGAAAAGCCATCACTTCAATCTACCCATACTCCTATTATAGAAAGGACACCCACACCTCCGCAAAGGGATTATAGTCCACGACTTGATGAAATGGCTATTCCATCACACTACAAGTCGAACTTAACATCAGAGCAAGAATGTCTTCTATCGGGTACACCAATTCAGGATTTTCAGAGTGCGTATCATACCCCTAGTGAGTATATATCGCCAAACGTATTCCACAGCTCCAATATTACGATGCCCATCGCTGTGATCAGCAAAGGTTCTTCATCCAGTCATTCAACCTCAACAATTGACACGCCAGAGTCAGCTTATACTCCCCCTTCGATGGGCAATACACCACCTCCTACTACCTATACGTCTTCTCAATCCCCACCAGTACTCACTAATCCTCGAAAACGCCCTCTGCAATCAAGGAGTCCCACTCCTATTCTTAATAATGACTTCACACTGGAAGAAAATATCATACGGGCCTTTGTCCGTCTGGATGGTCAAGGCTGTAAGTGTCTTCTAATTTCATACTAATCACCCAATATTCAATTCTGCATCCGATCGTGCCCCCGTCCTCTTGCACTTTACAATATATCACATGCTAATGATCTACTCTTCTCATAGTATTCTTCGGCATGACACCGGGTATTCCTCCCCTCTTTTGGGACATCCATTCTGCACATCACATCCCCATACCAAAAACATTTACAAGCTTCTCCGAAGCTCAACAATGCTGGGATTTTTTGATGGACCGAACACTTCAATACTATCGACGAACGCTTTTCGACCGAAAATATGCTAGTGCGAAAAGTGATACCCCAGATGAAATAGCACAGCAATATGCAACATACGCCGCTAGACTAGATGAATTCGAGCAGGCTTTCAACCCTATACTAAACTCGTCGATATCCCTCGAGGGAATCGTGCTTAACCAGGCCGCTATTGTTCTTATAATACATCTCAAAGCCACAGCGATCACACTCTCAGCCGTCACTTCCACCTCAGAAATGGTGTATGACTCCTTTATGAACGATTTTCAATATATAGTTCGAGCTGCGGAATTACTCATTATAAAATCGGAGGCAAATCCCTCGGCTTCAATTTCATCACGATTCAGTTTTGATATTGGTATTGTTCCACCATTACATGTCGTGGCCACCAAATGTAGGGAGCCAAACATCAGAAGAAGGGCAGTGAAGCTACTATTCAGGAGTCCGAGGCAAGAAGGAATGTGGGATGGAATTTTGAGCGCTAGGATTTGTAGATGGATCATCAGCTGTGAGGAGGATGGATTAGACGTCCCCATGAGACTCAAATCCCCTGATGCACAACCAGACTGTTACAATCAAATATTCCCGTATATGGAATCACCACAATCTTTCGAAGAAGGGTTGTCGCCGAAATACGGGAAGAATGGGGACACGATTCTGAATAATGATATACTACAAGATCATTTTACGCCCTACTTGTCACAAAGTCAAAGTCCAGTTCCTCGAACTCCCTCGCCGTATACCCAAGCTCATACACCGCCCATGAGAAAAAGAATTTCAATGCCGCGACAAGAGAAAGTCTGGACGGTGCCGGAAGATAAACGCTTCCAATTGGTAGTCGTAGATTTTCATGTACCAGATCGTTATATTATGGTTAGATGTAAAAGATCCATCCCAAGCAAAGATGGCACAAGAGAGGAACGAGAGTCCATCATTGCTTGGTAAATGGAGATAATGGTCATTACCTGAGAGTGTCAGATCATGGGAGATTACCCAGACTCTCTTTATATATCGAAGTTCAAGCGTTGCAATGGTGGGCATTATTGATGGAGTTTTTGGATAAGAAGACTACTTTCATGAAAATACCCCCGTAATTTTGATGTTAGCGAACTTATTCTAGATATAATCAAAGTATTAAAGTAATGAATTATCCAATTTCTATGTATGAAAGTAACTAAGTCTACCGGTAGACCCTTTCACGAAAGACTTCACTCAATAAAAAGGTCAGTCAGGGTTTTACAAGTTTTACGAGTTTGTTATATTTTATTCAGAGAGAGAGATGAATGAATGACTGGATTGGATTAGATGGATGACTTGATGGAGTTTGTTTACAAGGAAGTTTATTGGGGAGAAGTGATGGATAGACGGATTGGGATGGAGTGGGATAGGGTGGGATAGGGGGAAAAAGGAAAGGAAAAGAAAGGAGGGATGATTGGGATACGTATCGAAGATCATAAACGAGGTAAAAAAAAAAAACGGAGGTAAAGGATTTACCAATTTTAATCGACAGCACAAAACATCATGAGAAAAAAATTACAAGCTACACCCATAACGAAAAAACTGCAAGAACAACATAACAAAATTTCTCATCTATGATATACGAGTACATTTCACACCACTACATACCCATACCAAACCCTAAAACTCCTCATCACTCGGAACCCAAATGAGTAAACCATCCTTATCACTCTTCATACCATCCGTCGGCGCAATCTTCAAAACCTTCTGAAAATATCTATCCCTAATCACACATCTAATTGGACCAATCCAATCACCTCTAAGCGTCGGCAATAATCTAAATTTGACGATCCTTCTCGAAAGCGGCACTAGTTGCAATGTAGATTGTTTGACACCCGAGAAGGCGAATTGTTCGCTGGGTTCCATGGTTATGGCAAAAGAGAGAAAGTGATGGGATGGATTCTCGATGGTGACGTCGAAGTGAATCATGGATTGGATGGTTGAGGAATAGGTTACGGCGGCTAGGACTCGGGGCTCGCTACTTGAAACGAGGAGTCGTGGGACGGGGACTATGCATGTATTGGTAGTGGAGCCGTCTTTATTTCTGCGCCATTTGATGACAAGGGATAGATCGAGAGTGGCAGTACCTCGGTCGTCCAGCGAGTATTTTTGGGTAAAGGCATCGAATTGAGCTTCCTCGAGTACTTTCGGACTAACTATTATGCCTCCCTCGGGGATCGTGGTTATCTTTCTCGTGGCACAATTGATACCGCCCTGCACACCAAGAATTTCGACGTCAACATCTTCGACCATTATGTCTTCTGTGGCGAATGAAGCATAGCGAGTTGTTAGACACCACTTTTGTGCCAGCCCATAGGCTTTATGATCATTCTCTTGTTCATCCTGACTACTTTCCAATAATTCTTCGTGGGTGAAGAAGCTTGGCCAAGAGTCTGGATGAATACGTGGGGAGAAATCGTAATTAGCCTCAAAAGGGTTCAAGATAGAAAGCTGTGCCGACATCGTTTGTGAGACGGGCGTTTCCATATCTGTTATGAGGTTGTATGAAGCTTTGAGACTAAGATCATAAACTGCCGGTATATCTATAGATGAGATGAGCATCTCCACAATGATAGAGGAGCCACTTGCAATCGTGCCCAGTGACAGTTCCTGGTCGTCTCCCTCTTCAGAATCACTATCGTTTGGTTGATTTTCTCGATCGAGACGCCTCAAAATGATATTGGATGGAACGTTTTCTCCAAGAAGACGGGCTTCTATGTCCACGACAGAATCGATTTCCTCTCCATTCTTCAACTCGAGATGTAAAGAAATGAGCTCATTTGTGTAGTATTGTTCCTGGAACTCGAGAATGCGAAGTTCTAGTTTAGGTGGCTTGGGAAGTACGTGAAGGGAGGATGGCCTGGTACGAACGAGCTTCTTCTTCATCCCAGACTCGCCATACCACATCTCTGGAAATGTCGGTCTGTCAAAAGAATGGACATAATCAAAGTCAAAAAGGTCTGAGGCGATAGAAAATGTGACTTTCGACGCCCTTGCATCCCCTGCTTCTCTTAGAAGATTGACAAATTCGAAGACCTTAATCTGACCGGGGCTGAAAGTAAGATCCTCGTAGCTTGTCAATGTTTGTCGAGTGGGCAAATCCACCGGATCATGTCCTTTTTCTACGGTTGATTCATCGATCAAGGGAGACTTCCTGTACAAGACGCCAGATTTCGGGGTCCCGGATACTTCAGCGCTAGTTTTGTGACGCAGAACAATGGGTTTCATGCTACCTGTGAACTCTAGACGTATTTCGTTGATCGTTACTGGGGTTGAAGAAGCAAGGGCAGATGATCTGACTGCTAGTTGGGATAATGAATGCTCGCCCACCTTTCCTTCAGACTTTTCGAAAGCATATGAAGCGGTCAAGAAGGATTGAATTTCCTCGGCATGAAGTACAACAGCGGGCTTGACTTTGACCGTACTTAAACCCTCTAGAGACTTCTCGATATTATAATGCCAATTGGATTGACGGACAAAGCCTGCAATGAGTGTCAATAGAGAATGAAAGTTTATTTTCCATGATATACTGACAGGTATGTAAAAGCTCCCAATCCACAGCAACGACTGTACCTCCATCACCGACCTTAGCTGCAGCCTTTCTCAACGTCCATGCGATCTCCTCAACGACAACCCACCACCCTTCATTTCTATACGTCATTTTCTGCCATAAAGCACGAAGAATTCTCAAAGCATCATCCCATGCTTCGCGTTTCATGTGTTCTTTTCCACATTGAAATAAGAGCTCTTGCACTAGACGATCTTGTCCTCTTATTTGAAATTCGGCAATGGCTTTGTTCAGAACGTCAATAATAAGAGTTGCATGATCAACACCTTTGCGACCAGGTAAGGGATTTTCTTCATGCGGCTGGGGGCAAAGATATGTATCATAGGTATAGACTCTACTCGCAATTTGTGATGCAGGAGAGGATCCGGGTGGGGACCTATCTTCCTCCGGTATTGACAAAGCAAGAGCTCGACGAGCCATTAAATGTTTCGAAGCCTCACGGTACCAGTAGCCTGGATGATGAAGATTCTCCCAAGGCTGGACTCCGCTTGTAGTAACTTTGTCAAGTGGCAAATATATCGTCGAATTTGATTGTTTAAAATCGGAGAAGCCAACTTTCTCGATAATCTCTGCCATAATGGTTGCCCAACGAGCTTCCCATGCTTGCCAGCCATATGTCGATGAACCTTTACCTCTACGATCCACAAAGTCACGTATCCTATCCCGATGTAATTGCCATCTACGGACTGCCGTTGATGTATGTCCATTCCATAACAGACAACGCAATATTCTTATAGCAAAGACGTCGGCGATGAGACGCCCTTCATTGAAACGATGACTCCAAGTAGCAATGGTTTCGAGGACTTCTTCACCCAACAATGCTTCGTAGCCACTCTCGTATGAGCGAACAGCTACATCCATTTCCTGCCTGAATTCGGCAAAGACCCCAAGCTTGAAATCATATCTCACATTCCATCCTTGTCCAGTCAATGTTTGTGAACTTCCTGATGTGGGCGGTGCTGTTGGGGGTGGCACTACGCCTCTGTTGCGCTTTCTTCTTGAGTGCTTGCTCAAGTCACGGTAATATTCAATACAAAGCGGGTATATGGTAAAATAAATTGTTTCGACAAATGCTTCAAGTTCAACATAAGAACTTTGCGGAGGCAAGAAAAACAAAGAAGTCTTCGTATCAAGACCGGTTGCTTTACGAATATTGGAAAGACGCTCTTCTACATCAGGAGATGGCACGCCAGGTGCTTCGCTCAACAATGCAATCATAAGTCGAGTTTTGTAACCAGATTTGCTCAATATGTTTTTGATGTTGTTGATATCCGTCTTCAACTTATTATCATGTAGAGTTGCTAGATTCGGATCAGATGTAAAATTGTAGAATGAGAGATATGCGCTTGGTACGAGATCTTGGTGCTTGTCCATCCACTTTGTATCCAATAATCCATCTGGGAAGACTGTTGCTCCAGGGGTTAATGGAGACAACGGAGAGTGTAAAACAAGCCTAGAATTCGGAGCTGGGCTTCCAGAATCGGGAGAGCGCGAGGCACTCGTTGGAGGCGGGGCCTTGCGACTTGGTAATATATAATCCTATGAACCCTTCAGTGATTGACTCCAAGTATGGTGGTCCGTCTTTAGCTACCCTTCCAATGACCTTGACCTTAAACTTATTCTTCTCACTATACTCATGTCCATTCCAGGGGAGGTTCTCCGCATCATTGTCCTTGAAATATTTTAGGATATATTTCGCATCCTCCGATTCCAATGGCGCAATATCCGAAGTGATTATCACCCCTCCTTCCTTTAATCTGGCATTGGTTGGCGATGGATCAGCTCCTAATCCGGATACTACAAGCAATGGTAGATTATGAGCAATATATGCTCTCGCATACCCATCCATCTTGATGGCTCCGTGGTGCTAATAGTAATAGCTCCATAAGACTGCAGATGGAAGCGGTTCACGATTCGATTCAAGACAATGTTATTTCGTGAACTTGAATTGGTCGATGGAATGAATCGTTTGAAGATGGGTAAATAGAACAAGGCTGAGCTCAACTACTCGAGTATTTGGGTTAGGATTGACGCAGTCTCGTTCGTAGTCAGTCAAGCAGTGACGAGATAGAATATGGAGGAGAAGAGTACTCGAAGAAATACAATGTCATATGAACTCCAATGTACCAATCAATACTGGAATGAATATCTATGTACCGATATATATGTTCCTGAGTTCAGACCATAGTTACGAAAGGCTGATCATTTGTGAGATGCACGGATCATGTTTACATTTAAGCACCGACATGCCGATCTGCGCAGCCTTGTAAAGTGTAAAGTTGCTTGCCCTCCCAATACAAAGCTTCTTTAGATAACTTTCATCGTTCTCGACTTCTATTTACAGTTGTACTTTGTGAATTCCTCTCTACACATATCTCGTCCTTCTACACACTCCTCAATATACAATAGTTAAAACTGATTCTATTCCCTATATTTCAGAATAAACAAACTGGCGCATTCGTTCCCGTTTTCCCACAAACTCATCGCGATCAAATACCGTCCATCAATCTACCCCGTACTCAAGGCACCCAAATTCAGCTTCTGAATGCTTTTATCGGATGCGTATAATCACGGCATGCTCTTAGGACCTTAAGAATATAGCTGCTGCAGATATATTGTTCTCATTTACTTTATCTTCGAAATCCTCACAATGACTTCTCAGGCTGCTATGATCGCGGACACAATCGTTGCTATGAAAAGAGCAGTTAAGAGAAAAGCATATGGTATGTACTGGTTCCTCGAGCGATTCAAGTAGTTCAAATATCTAACAATGTTTGGTAGAATCAGATTCCGATGCTTCGATCGAAAGACTTACAAATAGAGGAAATAAATTACGAAAGAGAGCAAGATACGTCCATCAAGGGCAATTGGCCCCGCCAACTGGTCTACATGTGTATAAAGAGGTAAGACTCGCAGATTGAGTAGAATAGAAGGAATTGTCATCTAACGTATAACTTACCGGTAGACAATTGAACATGCCGGCTACATCAGAGATATTATCAGCAGGAAACCCCCGCTAATCGACGAAGACGGCGACGAGGTTGATAGCGACGAAGAAAATGAAGAAAAGATCGCAATCGCAAAGGCAGCAGCCGCAGAATTTGATCCATATGCGAATATAAAACTAGAAGGTTTGTGGCTGCAAAAGAACGTTGAAGCTTTTGAAAGCCTCTCACTAACTTTTTCGGGTAGAACTCCTAGCACCTCTAACCGCTGCCTCCGACTTGCCTAACCATCCAAGCCTATCGCAGCCCTTCACATCGAAAGTGCTTACGGAATTAACGAGAAATGCCGGAGAGATGGTTCAAAAGGAAATGGCGTCTTTGTGGAAGATCAAACATCTCTTAACTCGATTTAGTGGGCATGATACTTGGATACCATGTGAAGCTGTCGAAACTGAATATGATGCTTCTTTCTTCGAGACCGAAACGGAACGGCATCGGGCTCAAGTACAGAGAATTGCAAAGGAGCATGCGGACAACATGTCGAGAGTAACACTAGCTTCTGAATCTGACAGCGTAGCTGTTTCAGGGCTGATGATTATGGGTGTTGAAGTTGATGCTGCATCTAGGGCCGTTGCCCGTCAAGCGTTGAAGGGGAAAGGAAAGGCATTGGATGTTGAGAAAGATATGACATCCACCTCTGTTAATGAAGAAACCGCAGACTCCTCTGCTGCGAATGCCACGGGCGAGAACATAGAGATGGCACATGGATCAATACCATCACTAGATGATGTTAACATGGGTCAAGAGGATTCCCAAGGACCCGGAGATGCAATGGATATTGAGCCATCGGCTGAAGATACAGAAGATAATCCGGTTCCTCGTCGTATGAGGACTCGTGCCCAAGCACAAGCGGTGTTTGATGATGCAACTCGATCGAGGTCTATAACACCTGATTTGAATGGCGAGCCTTTTGTCCACCCTTACTTTCTCGCACCTGAGACGTCATATCCAGATCGAGATCTTTATTTGCCTCATACTGAGGCAGATGAACTGAGAAGATTAATGGTACACTATATTCAGAAGCAAGAAGAGATTATCCGAGGCGCTCGCAAGGTGTATGAGGGATTATTGAGAGCGGATCGTTTGCGCCATTTGGTTTTGAAATGGACAAAAGCCGAAAGACATGTCGGTGACAATCGTGATATGTCTGATGGTGAGGATTGGTACGATAAAGACGAATGGGGATTAGAAGAGGATCTTAAGAAAGGACAAGACGAAGAAGAGGAAGATGCTGCGACAACAGCCAAGAAAACTAGAACGAGACGACAATAATCTATCACCGGTAACAATATTTTGGTCAAGGGGACAAGGCAGGCAGGCGTAAGGGTATGGAATTTGAATAGGGATAAAGGATATACTATACGAAGATACCATGATTCATGATGGCGCAATTAGGAAAGATTGCATTATGCATTCTATATTGAATGCATCAAATGGAACAAACGGATCAAATGGATGGAGTGGTACTATGTAATCTGAAATTGATGGTTTCAATTTTATTTTATCGAATTGGAAAAAGGCATGCATGATTTTGTATATAATCATTCTGTACTGTAATAATATATATCCATTTTTTATAGAATTCTCTTGGCGGTAGCGATAGATAGTTGTGAGCTCGCTTCTATATCCAATGACGTCATACGACAGCTACGGGTACAGGCCGGGTATATGAGTTTATTGATTTGTTGAGGCTTTCACGTGAAAGATTTCCCATTACTTTTCGACAACAACAACTTTTATACTCAGTAGAACTTCATAGAAGACAATCTGTCCAATTCTCTTCAATTACACTTCATCTTCACATAGAATTCCTCAATCTTTCACCTCTCACATTCATTGCCCTTTACCATGATGACTTTTCTAGGTAATAACAAAGGTCTAGTTGACTTTGATCAGAAAAGCCTCGCAAGTACGTTAATATCATTCAATCACAGCAGTGATAGCTTCAAAATATACTAATTAGCTCACTTAAATTAGTTGCGGCAGCATCTATTGCTTTCAACCCTATTTTCTGGAAGTAAGCTTTCTATATACTCTCAATCCTCTACTTAGAGCCAAACTAACTCAAGTTCTCAGTACTGTCGCTCGTCAAGGTACATTAACAATTATCCCACTTTCTGCCCAAAAGCACCTATTGATTTGATTCCCAACAACCCAGAATATCACAACAAAGTCCTCACAAAACTCTTCAATGGTAATTCTCGATATGGATGTTATTTTCTCGCCATGGCCATTTTCTCCCTCGGTATCTTCCGCGATTTCCTCTACGAACGCGCCTTACGCTCTCAACCCACTCACCCTCTGCTCTTAACCCCCATCTCCCAATATATATCCTATGCACTTCTCATCAGCGGTAATACACTTGTCCTGAGCTCCATGTGGGCACTGGGTGTCACGGGTACATATTTGGGAGATTATTTTGGGATTCTGATGGATAAAATGGTGACGGGTTTTCCGTTCAATGTATCGAGTGCGCCGATGTATTATGGGAGTACGATGAGTTTCTTAGGGACGGCGCTGCTGTGGGGAAAACCGGCGGGGATTCTGTTGACGGTGGAGGTTTTGCTGGTTTATCTTGTGGCGTTGAGGTTTGAGGATCCGTTTACGGCGGGGATTTATGAGAAGAGGGAGAAAGTGAGGAAGGCGAAGGGGGGAAAGAAGGGATTGTAGATGAGGTGTGTGGGTGGGGTGTGAGGGGCTTTGGTCGTATTGGCGGGGTACGAGGGGTCAAGACCGTAAGAGTGTGATTTTGGGGGATGTGAAACCGGGGAAATATGAGTGCGGGGCAGTGGCATGGCGGGGTGAAGGTACTTATGGCGATGGCAAGAAGAGACGATGGATTTTGGGAGGAAAAAGTTGACTGGTGATTCTCAAATGAAAAGGTCATGTTATGAATATGGATTGATGATTGGGTGGGGCATATATATTCGGAAGGGGGATATCAAAAAAAGGGGTTCAACAATGGACAGGTATTGGTTGCAAAGATATCAACTACTTTGCATCACAGGTGTTTTATAGCAGGAAAAAAAGGAATATTGTACAATCTTAATAGTATTATATCTATTTTTATATTTATGCTCTATTATATTCTCTGTTTTCTGTGGTTAAACCCCTTCCCTCATTACAATTCTGGGTACACATCACTAAAACAAGTCAGTCAACAAACCTCCCACAAATCAAATCAAATAGCAGACAACAAACAACAAAAACCAAATAACCAAAAAACCTACCATCTCCTCACCAACGGCATCCTCTCCCTCGCCTCCACCACCCTCTCCCTCGCCTCCACCACCCTCTCCAAATCAATCCCTCACAATCTCCAACTTCGCCCTACCCCCCTTACCATCACCTTGTCCCTCACCCTCCCTATTATCACCCTCCCTATTATCCCCATCCCCCTCATCCACCTCATATCCACCCCCCTCACCATTCCATTCCATTCCATATCCATGACTACCCTACCCTACCCTACCTAGCCCATTTCTCTTCTCTTCTCTTCTCTTCTCTTCTCGTCTCATTATGCTTTCTCTTCTCTTCTCAATATGCTTTCTCACCTCATCATGCACACCACACCACATCACATCACATCACATCACATCACATCACATCACATCTACCTAACCTATTTGTATACTCGTAGTGGCGATTATGATTAAGGTTATATAAGATTGGGTTTCGATTGTGTGGGTGTGAAGAAGAAGAAGAGGAGGAGGAGGAAGAGGAGGAGGAAGATGATGAAGAAGATAATAATGATGATGATGATGATGATGATGATGATGATGATGATGATGATGATGATGATGAAGAAGGGTTTCTAGGTTCAGGTGGGGGTTGGGGTTGGTTTGGGGAGGGGGATTGGGGGGTAGGTGAGGATGTGAGGATTTGGGGATTTGGGGATTTGGGTGGAGAGGGAGTGTAAGGTGAAGAAGGGTAAGGGAGGGTAAGGGTGGGGGGAAGCGGAGGGGGAGGGGGTTGTGTGGGTGAGTGGGTGGTGAGTGGGTGGTTGGGGTATAAGTGAAGGTTAGGTTTGACTTTGGGGAGAGTATGTATAACACACACTCTCTCCCCCTTTCCACAACCGAAACCTTGATAATTAAGAATATCCACATACATCAAAACAAATCAAAACAAAACAAATCAAATCAAATCAACAATCCCATCTTCCTTCCCTACACATGTTTCTAACGGGTTTCACAATCTTCCATCCAATTTCTATCGTATCACTTTTTCTCTGCCCTGCTTTTGCATAATTGATTACCGGTAATTGAATAGGTGCAATTTATTATACATGGTGCACTGTGATTTGTTCGGATTCGGGTTATTCATATACTATTATAACGTACTCGAGTGCTTCTGTTGAGGACTTCTGTTTTGATTTGATATGTTGGGGGTGGGTGGGTGCTGGGATGGGATGGGATGGGATGGGGATTTGGATGTTTATGGATGTGGTGATGGAGGATTGGGGGGATTGGTGCGGAGGAGGTGGTGGAGGTGGATGGTGGGAGGGTAGCCGGGGGTTGTGATGTAGTCGCTGGCTTTGGGGAGTAGAAGTGCCTAGATGATGGAGAGAGGGAGGGATGAGATGGATGCATGAGATGGATGAATGGATGGAATATATGAGTGAGATAGATGAAATGAACAGATAAGAGTAGAATTTTGGTATTTTGGGTGCGGCTAGAAGGCCAGGAGGCTAGGAAGTATGAGGGAAGGGATGCAAAACACACTTTAGCTCCTTGCTATGCAGTGTCTCAGGCAAGTTTTTGACACACAAGGAGGTTTTGATGGATTGATGGATGGAAGCTGTTGAACATACGAGTATTTGGCCTACCTATTGCCTGAGTATGGATGATTAGGTAGTACTCGAGTATATGTTTATATTTATGTTTATGATATTTGGAGAGTGCTCTATGATGATTGTTTCTGAGTTTGAGTTTGGGATTTGGATTGAAGAAGGATTTGTTTTGAAGAAGGATTTATTTGAATACCTAGAGTTGGAGAGTAGGAGAGTAGGGATATGAAGAATTGGTAAAGGTTGAACGGAATGAATGTATGAAAGTGTGGTGTGCGAATGTATGTATTGTGATTTGATATACTCGAGTATACATACACTGCACTCACTGTATTGCAATGTATGTTCAATGCTGACAAATGACGAAGGCTTTTGATGGGATGGGATGAAAATCGACTTCGACCAATACCTCTCATCATATCTTTATCTGATTTCTTCTTATTTCTTCTCATCTTAATCAAGAAATACATAAAATCTGACATTTAAACCCATCTCATCTCATCTCATTCCATCTCGTGAAAATCATCATGGCATTTCATTCTTCACTACAGCTAAAATTGATTGGTTTGGGCACAAAATGCGGAATTTCGAAATGTACTATTTACATGACGTCCATCAAAGAAAGAAAGAAAGACCCGAACTTTTAACGAATTTCTAGACAATTTTTGACACAACCCGAAAACCTCCCCTTTCTCCCACTTCTGCAACCTGACTGACGTGAGCTTCCCGTTTGGTTTTGACAGTTCCATTCCCTCCTCTTGACTCTTGACTCAACATCGATCGAAATGTCATTATAATATTTAGAAAAGCGAAATGTCCAATGGTGGAAATGCAGGAAAGAAATCCTCATCTTGTATGGATATTTGCCCCGCCACCTCGAGTACTTGTGATACAGTATATATAATATATATATATACTACCTCCAGAAATTGAAGCTAACACAATATCTCTTTCCCAGATTTCCACTTCATAGCAGGATTAGGATCAGGAATCCTATCTGCCGTTCTACTCCAACCCGCCGACCTGCTCAAAACCCGTTTACAACAAAGTAACCATGGTTCCCTCTACAGCACCATCCGCGAGCTATCACAATCACCCAACAGCATCCTCTCTTTCTGGCGTGGCACCGTCCCCTCCGCTCTACGCACCGGTTTCGGTTCCGCCATCTACTTCACCAGCTTAAACGCCCTACGACAAAATGTCGCCCGCTCCAATTTATTGCGAACGATTGGCGTCGTCGAGAATAAGCATGGCCCCGTGCATTCATCATCGCTGCCCAAGTTATCGAATCTTGCGAATTTGACCACGGGGGCTGTGGCGAGGGCTGGAGCAGGTTTCGCTCTTATGCCTATGACGATTATTAAAGTACGCTATGAATCGAATTTGTATGCATATAAATCAATTATGGGAGCTGGTCGAGACATTGTTCGCACGGAGGGTTTTAGGGGGTTTTTCTCGGGCTTTGGGGCTACTGCTATTAGGGACGCGCCGTATGCGGGTTTATATGTGTTGTTTTATGAGGAGTTGAAGAAGCGGTTGAGTTCTATTGTGTATGCTGTACCACCCGCCGGGAGTCTGGGTACGAAGATAAACCAGAACCAAAATAAGAATATGAAAAGCAGCACAAGCGCCTCTATAAATTTTGGATCCGGAGTATTAGCAGCAGGATTAGCAACAGCAATAACGAACCCCTTTGATGCGATCAAGACGAGGATACAACTGCAGCCGAAGAAATATACGAATATGGTGGTAGCGGGGAAAAAGATGGTGAGGGAAGAGGGGGTCAAGAGTTTGTTTGATGGGTTGGGGTTAAGGATGGGGAGGAAGGCGATTAGTTCGGCGTTGGCGTGGACGATTTATGAGGAGTTGATTAGGAGGGTGGAGGAGGTTTGGGAGGGGGATTTGGAATAGGAGGGGGAGGGGTTGGTTTTTGGTTGAGGGAGGTAGGGGGAGGGTGGAGGGGGGTGGAGGGTGAGAGAGGTGGGATAGGGAGAAGGAGGGATTAGGGAAGGGGGGATTCGCTACTCATTATTGATAGGATATGACTTTTGTATTTTTTATATACTATTTATCAACATAGATGAGAAAAGTTATGAGTATAAAATTAATACGAATATCATTTCCAACATGTTTGTTTGGATGTTTATCTATCTGTTTGTTTGCTTATTTGTTTATTCATTTAATTTACTTATTCCAAAAAAAGATTTCTTGTATATCAAAATCATCGTATATATCAAACAAAATCATTGTTTAAAGTTACATTCGAATACTGAGTATATTGTATTTATTGTATTGTATGTAATCTGGGTATTTTTAAACTTAAACTCGAGACTCGAGACTCGATCGAGTAGAGTATATACTAAATAACATAAATAAAGTAGAGATGAGATGAGAGTTCATCCAAGACAGACAGGAGAAGTAAAAGAGAATGAAGAAAGAACAAAGAAGAAATCAAAAAAGTTGAGAAAGTTGAGAAAGTAAACATGTTCATCATCCTGTCCTGTCCCATCCCATCTGGTTCGGTTAAATTCAGTTCAGTTAGGTTCAGTTCAGTTTAGTTTAGTTAATATCCGCCTTTACTCCAAATCCAAATCCAAATATTCATCATGTCGTATTATCGCAATCATTCCTTCGTCACCATCAGCATCAGCATCCTTATCCCCCTCCTCATTCCCCTCCCCCTCCCCCGCTTCTTCCTCCCTCCCTTTCCCACCCCTTCCCACCCCCTCCCACCCCCCTACATCCCCGCCGCCCACCTAACAAACGGACTAGGACTTCTACTTCCACTCCCACTTCCACCCCCATGACTATGACTATGACCATGTTTATGTTTCCTCTCAATCACCAACTGCAAATCATCACCCTTATGATGATGTTTTTTTTTATGTCGATCTTCTACTATGTATTCTTTTACGTATTCGATTGTGTGTTGTTGATTTTGATGTTGTTGATGATGGGGATGGGGATGTTGGTGGGGATGTGGGGATGGGGATGGGAAACGGGATTCCCGAATTTGTCGCGTGTGTGTCCAGAGGATGTCTTGTTCTTCTTCGGGGACCCAGCGTTTGATTAGGAGGTAGTCGGGTTCCTAAGGGGGAGAAGGGGAGGGGGGTTAGTTTGGGGGTATGGGGGGAGGGGAGGGAAGGGGAAGAAAAGAAGGGAAGGAGAAGAAAAGAAGGGAAGGGGGAAAGGGAAGGAAATGGGAGGGAAGGGGAGAGAAGGGGAAAAGAGAAAGGAAAGAAAAATATGGGAAGGGAAGAGAGAAAATACCTCTTGATCAAATTCATATTGAATTCCATAAACACGCAACGTTTCAATCGACAAATGTTTCCTCGACATCCTCGTATACGTCGGTCTAGGAGCCGCAGGTTGTATCTGAAACGTAGGAGACGCATGAGTCATCGGAGGAGGAGCATGAAGCACAGGAATCGGATTCGGAACCTGACGAGGCGGTGCCGCACTCGCCGGTGGCGGGAGTGCTTTTCCAGATTTGACCGCCCCGATTTGTTGTTCGTTTAAACCGGCCTTATGAAGATCTTCATGCAAACGTCGCTGATATTCCTTTTCTCTCTCTTCTCTCTCGAGTCGTTCTCTCGCTAGACGATCCGCTTCTTGTTTTTTGAATTTCTCGATGATTTCATCACGTTCTTTGCGTTCTCGAGCACCCTTTTCCGCTTCTTCGCGCTTGTATTTTTCGATGGCTTCTTCGTGTTCTTTTTTTTCGCGCGCGTGGCGTTCTTGTTCCATGCGTTTCATGCGTTCGTATGTATCGCGGATTTCCTTGTCGGCTCGTTCTCTTTCTTCTAGAGTTCGTTTTTCTTTTTCCATTCGCTTTTTTTCTTCCTTGAGGGAGAGAAGTTCGAATTCTTCTCGTAACATTCTTTCTTTTTTCTCCATCTCTTTCTCGGATTTGTAGCGTTCCAATTCCCCCTTGGTTGTCCTCAACTCTACATCCTCTCTCAATAATCTTTCGTTCTTTTCTCTCTCCCTCTCCCTCTCCCGATCTGATTTATACCGCTCCAATTCCCCCTTTGTCATCCTCAACTCAATATCCTCCCTCAACATCCTCTCACTTCTCTCCCTCTCCCCCTCCGCCCTATACCGCTCCAACTCCCCCTTCGTCATCCTCAACTCAATATCCTCCCTCAACAACCTCTCGCTCTTCTCTCTCTCCCCCTCAGCCCTATATCTCGCCAATTCCCCCCCATCCCTCACCAATCTCTCCCCCCTCTCCCTCTCCTTCTCCATCCGAATGCGCTCCAACTCCCCCCTCGTCCTCTCCAACTCAAACTCCTCCCGCGCAAAACTCCGTCTCCCGCTACTAGCAGGACTATGCGAAATACTCACATGGCGACTATGACTACGACTCCGATGTTTCTTCCTCCCTCCCTCTCCCACACTCAATCTCCCTCTTGCCCGACGACTCTCATACACCGAGGAAGAATCATCGCTATCGCTATCATAATCATTATAAATACGACGATTATCCACAATGATCGGCTGAGCAATAGGAGCAGCGGGTAGCGGTGGAGGAACAGGAGAACGTTCGCGATGACCAGTAGAATGCGATCGTCGGATTCCAGAAGAGATTTCGGGGGCGAGGTACGCGGTGGTTCCGTGACGGTAGGTAGGCACGGAGGTATATTGAGGTCGACGGTAGGGGATTGTGGGGGCGTGGTCTCGTTCGCGGGTTTCGCGGGTTTCGCGCGTTATGTGAATGTCGAGATCTTCTTCGTCGAAGTAATGTCTTGCCATTTTTTGGGTTTTGGTGGTAGATGGCTATTGAAAGCTTGTTATTTTTATATGTATTGAGATTTTGAGAAGTTGTTTGAAAAAGATGAGATGAATAGGTGGTCAAATAGTTGTAACCCCGCGATGCAGCGACCGAGGGATTGGTTCTGGGTTGATTGCGACGTTTAGATAGGATGATGCGATGCGATAAGCCTTTTTTTGAACTTTGTCTTCTTGCCTTTGCCTTTGCCTTCGAATAAAGCTTGTTTGTTTGAATTCCCGTCTGATCTTATTTTTTGCGACAACTTATGAAGATATACTTGATATTCGTCTGATACATATACTCGAGTACTATCCCAATGAACAAGAAGATGCGCACACAACCAACAACGAAGATTCCATACACAAACAGTGAGTAAATAAGGTAAAGAGAATAAGAAGAAAAACAAACAGGAATTCAAAGCAAGCGGTTTGTCTTGTCTTGTCTTGTCTTGTTCTTGTCAGCAGGAATGGGCATGGGTTAATTCAAGATCATTCTATTGGATTAGATGTTATTTACCGTCCCCCCCTCACCTCCGAGCGCGGCTGAATGACTTGGTTTAAGCTTATGGTTATGGTTATGCTCATGCTTATGGTAGGGTTTACGTTGCCCCCTGTCTATGTATATATATATACGGTAGGGCTGTTTCATATATAATAGCTAGATATATATCTTTTCTTGTTTGCTATCTGGTATCTATAACAGAAGATATAGTATGTCAATCCGATTCTTCTACCTCTTTACTATCTATCTTACACCCTGGGTTTGGTACTTATACCTATACCAATATTTCAAACGTGCAGTATAGAGTGCTAGCTGACAGAACTAATACTATAATTAAAGCTAATACCCATCCATGCAATCAGTACGTACAGCCCTAACCAATAGCATTAGCGGAGACACATTATATCCAAGTGTAATTTTCGTAAATCTATCCTATGATGATGAAGAGGAGGGAGGGGGTTCGATGTATTGATAGTTGCATTCGAAATGGTAGGGTAGTGGTATTAGTTATAATATAGTACGGACTGGGGTGCTAGATGATAGATTGATGTGTATTGTAAACCTATGATTATCCATGTTTTAAATTTGGAAGAGTTTAGTCTAATTAATGATATTTATTTCATAGGGTTTGAGGCTCTACTCGTAGATGTACTTACGAGTACCGTATCCATTGCAAGATCAATATAACTTTCTTACTTTCTTTGCCTAGGGTAGGGACTAGAATTGGGGTATTGAAAGTTTGAAACTGAGCAGGTAACGGTATTGCTTTTAGTTTCTTGTGAAGAGAGAGTTACGTGAAGGGAGAGAGGGGATGGATGGATAGGTAGCGATAAGCTGCTTCAAGATGGCGTCGTGGAAATTGGTAAAAGGGGAGGGAGGAGTGGGTTGGGGGTATAGCGGCTAGGTATAGCGGCTAGGTACTGTATGTAGTTGGTAATTTGTCTTTTAGCCCCCAAACGTTAACCGATTTTGGTGAGTTGTGGGGATAATACATCTCGTCCCTTACTTCTTATGGTTGGGGAGAATATGGGTGGAGATTGATGGCTAAAAATGAAGATGATGTTCTACATATTCTATTCTATTCGTTTGGATCTATTTTGGGGGTCGAGTACTTCCTTTCTGATATTTGATATCGGGTATTCGATAAGTACAACAGCAAGCAAAGTCGAGAACCGTGTATGACATACCAGTGTCAACGAATAATGAGTACCATATTCGATTTTGTATCTCTCCGCATGACATTAGATGCTTGAGACTACATCCCACATCCCACAATCAACCATCAACCATCAACCATCAACTGAACCATCCCAATCCAAATCATCCTCTCGGGAATGTACCGATAGTACAGCTTTTCATAAACCCTTAAAATTCATCCACAAAGATACTCCATCAAGCACGGCCACCACTCTGAAGAATCCTCGCAATATTGTCGTTACTTTTCTCATATGTAGTCTCTAAATATAGTAACTTCTTGCCCAAGTTCTCAATATCTAATTTCAGATCTTTCGTCTCGCTGTGTAATCTCTTGTCCACATCGGCTGTAGGGCTGAAAACGAACCTATCCATCCCATCCAATCATTAATACTTGTTCTATCATCAGGTGAAGTAATCATGTGGTTTTAAAAAAAAAAAAAAAAAAAAAGGCAACAAAAATATTATTGTGAAAAACGCAAGGGGTGTTTTGAAAGGAAGTGAAAATAGAGAAGGGATAAATACATTTTACCAACTCCTTCATAAACATTGGTATTGGGCGGTAACGTGGATACTTCGGTGGATGTGAGTTCAAGTAATCGAATCTCGCGTTGTTTGACGGAGATTTGAGATTTGACGACACTGATCTGTTGCTCGGCTTGAATAGCTTGAGATTGGATTTCGTTGACAAGCTATTACTGTCAGTAATCCTCTTATAGATTTGATATTGGAGGGTCTTAAGGGGGGGAGGGGAGGAGGGGGAGGGAGGGTTCAATAGAGAGTCTTTTGAGTGAGTGAGTTTTACCTTTTGTAAAGCTTCGTTTGGGATAGACATTTTGTTATCTTAAGTAATTAGATATCAAAGAGTACTTGAGTTGAAACTTATCGGTCCTTCACTCTGCCTCACAATATCTTCTTTTATTGTTTGGAATACAGTCTGTCTGCTTGCCTCAATAATAATGCGTGGGGAACTATTTTCGAAAATATCATGTGTTAAACCGATAAGGAGGTCGATAAGAAAGGCGGTAAGGTTAAGATCAAACAGAATAGATGGGCAGAATAGCTTCTTCCCTTGTTGTAGGAACCTCTTCCACCAAACCTAAACAACTTGGTGAGATCATTTGTTGTCACATCATTAAGATCATTAAGGCCTCAGTTGCTGTAACTTACTTTCTGTTCAATCATTCTAGGCTTGCTTTTCAAATGATTGAAAAAAGATGACTATCTGAAGCTCAACCTCATGCTGGCAAGAATCATCTAGACGCCTACTACTCGAGTAGATCATAATAGATACTTGAGTACATGACCTCAAGTATTGTATACAAAAAGAAATCATACCTGATCATGCTGATACTTCGAGATTCAACCTATTTCTCTCCTACTCCCACACTGGCGATCCATCATCATTTTATATAACCTCACAGTCAAAGCCAAAGAGATGATGCACACACAGATAGTATATCTTCACAGTAGGTAGTTCAATTAAGCTGTCAGATATTAACTCGAGTAGCTCCCTCCCGTAGCTTCCGGTTGATACCCCTCGAAACATCGTATGAGGTCCACCTTTGCTTTCTCATCAATGGAATGACGGTACATTTTTAAGCATTTCTCACATCACATTCAACAGGTCAGGGTCGGCCCCCTCCCTTCCCCAATACAATAATCAATAATACCAGTAGATTTTCTTGACTAGAATAATATAATAAAGAACTTCCTACCAACGTTCGTTCCAAACTCGAAAAATTATGAGTATTAGACTCTACTGATATTGTTTGTTATTCGAGTATATTTTGACCCATCATTCCTCTCTTGTTGCTCGTTGCTTGTTGCTGCAATTCCAAACCACATCCCCGCGCTGTGTATCCGAACATCATCATTTGAACGTCCTGACTACGCGCCATCATAACAACAAGTTCCCTCTCCAATTTGCACCATGGGATTCCATCTCCCATCAATACCATATCCTCCAGCACGACCAGAGGAAGGATATTGGGCTCCTGTAACCTCTACCATAAATTGGTGTGAAGGCAATAACCTCCATTCAATCTTCACATCGTAGTTTATCACCTTCTAACCGTGAACTACAGAGGACTACTATGCCACTATTTACTCTGCCGAAATCGTCAATACTCTCACCAACCTACTATTTATATGGCTTTGCATCAAAGGTACTCGCAACTGTTTGAAGTATGACCATGATAGCGTATTCCTAGTGGCTTTCCTAGGTTATGGCGCTGTGGGCACAGGTGAGTTATTAGCCAATCTTCACGATGCTCAGGCTGATACTGCTAATAAGGTTCATTCTTGTTCCATTCAACCTTGAAATGTAAGTCATGCCTATCAGAATATCAGAATATCAGACGAAGAGAATGTTTAACTTATTGATACTATGCTTCAGATCCCATGCAACTCATTGACGAACTTTCTATGATTTATACTACATGCTTGATGTGCTATGCGACTTTCTCCTTCTCTCAATCCCGTATCTTCAGACAACTACTAGGATTTAGCTTGGTATTTTTGTCTGTGTTCATAACGGTAAGTAGATGGGTCTGATCTTTAGCATCCTCACTTCTCAATGCTGATGCTTGAATATCAACAGCTTTACTATCACTACCTCCAAGATCCCGACTTCCACCAAAATGCGTTTGCGCTTCTCACAGCTACTGTACTATTCCGTTCCATGTATGTCATGGAAGTCAATTTACGTCCCTCTCTTCGAAAGAAATACGCTACCACGGAACTCTCTCACGAACACCCCGATACTACCCACTCTGAGCGTCTAGCCAACGAAAAAAGACAGCATGATATCTTAATTGAAATGTGGTTGATGGTTGGCCTAGGTCTTTCGATATTCCTCGGTGGTTTTGGTATATGGTCCTTGGACAATCATTATTGCTCAACCATCAGACGATGGAGACATGAAATCGGACTTCCGTGGGGATTACTCCTCGAAGGACATGGTTGGTGGCATTTGATGACGGGTATTGGATCATACTTCTATTTGGTCTGGGGTATTTGGCTACGACATTGCTTGAATGACAAGCAAGATGAGTACGTTTTGAACTGGCCGAATTACTATACCCTCCCGGAAGTCATCACGCGTCCTGACAGTAGCAAAATCTCGAATGGAAAGCGAAATGGACATACTAAAGATGAATCTAGAAAATCGGTTTGAAAGGTTGGCGATGGTTGGTTATGGTTATGGTTATGGCTTTAGGAATACCTGTTCGTAATGTTAGAATATAGTGTGGAGTTGAGTGTGGGTGGTGGTCTCTTTAAAAGACATAAATATTGATACCCTTTCATATAGACTATGAATATGAGTACAGAATACTGTATTCCAATCTCAAACTTGTGTTTTTGATCACAGGTTCTATCAACGATAGATAATCTTTGATACACATCCTATCTACTCGGATAGCTAGGTAGGCATTTAATAATGTCTGAAGGAGTTATATATCCATCCGAATGGTATCAATCTAGCTCGCATTGACCCCTCACATATCCTAGCCTTGTCTAAGAATGTTATCGCCAGCCTTGCGCAGATCCTAATGCCAACCAGGTTTTAGCTTGATCGTGATTGGCTACAGGATCAAATCGTGTCCAATATCAAGGGAATAGTCTCAGCCACGGCAGTACGCAAGCTTCAAAGTGAGCACACGTTTAATAACTTAAACTTACTTTTTCCACGAGTAAATATGCTAATATACTCAAGATACAATTTGCAGTCATCTCTATCGAATTCAAGAATCTCTGAAAGCTGATAAAAGCCATTTTGTACCACGAGGCTACAACAACTTGTCCTACCCTGGATCATGATATGCAATGTATGATTTGATCAAATACAATTATTCACGGACGCAACGTGTTTGATTTCTGCAGATTATAAGATCATGACGAGTCCTGCAAAACAAGGCCCCTCGAGATGGGGCTCATTTTTGTCGCAAGCAGTAGGAGGATTGGAATCAAGACTGGATAATATACTGGCAGAAGGACAAGAGGGTCCAGCAAACCGACCACCCTCTGCGGCTGGCGGTAACGCAGCTGCAGTAAAACCAGAGGCAGGTAAGAAATCATATTAAAGATTCCTGGAATTTACATTTATTTGACAGTGCCTCTAGTAGTGTCTCGAAGTGGATCGAATAGTAGTAGGACAAACGATCGATTACAAGAACGCCTAGCAAGGGCGGTTACTGCAAAGAATGCACAGAAAGCTGGGGCACAATCAACATCTTTCAACGTACCATCAAGAACCGGAAGTCCAATCACAGTCAGCGAAAGCCCAAGACAGAGTCTAGATGCCGCCTCTACAGTGGGAGGAGACGAGGCTACGAAGGGCGGTTCTCAAGACCTGAGGTCTACTATAATTGCGAATACTGTTGAGTCAGATACACCTACTGTAGAAGTTCGACCAAGCAGTCCGGTCAACACATCCAGTCCGGATACCAATCAAGTATCACCAGGCGGAGCTACCTTGAAGACTGAACCAGTTCCCCGTTTGTCGACAGATTCTACAAGGTCGAGTATACCTAGAGGGTCTATCGATTCACTTCAACAGTCTGATTCGATAATTCGCTCATCGATCGATGGACTACCACCAATATCAACTATTCCACTACCAGATGCGGTTTCAACATCGAAAACCCCGGGGGAACTCGAGGCTGCACTAAGTCAACTTCAGTCGGATTATGAAACTTCGGAACTACAAAGACAGGAGGAAGTCCACGGATACATAGAACGTATTGATGCACTTCAGGCAAAATTGCAGTATCTCGCGAAAGAAGGTCTAGAGTTTGCGAGCAATGCGAAAAATGCCGCACCATCGGGAAGCTTGGAGAAGAAACTCGCCGAGAAAGAACAGCAAGTTATTTTACTCATGGAAGAAGGCCAGGTTTTGTCTAAAAAGGAATTGATGCATATGAACACAATCAAAAAACTTCGTGCCAAAATTATTGAGGACAACAAGGAAGTCGCGGATGCCAAAAAGAAGCAAGAAAAGGCTGAAAACGAGGCCGCATCCCTGATGGAACGTCTTAGACGAGCCGAGAACGCCGAGAAAAGTCTAAGTGAAAGAAACAATGTGATCAATCGACTTCGAAAAGAGATTGATACGATTAAGCTTGAGAGAGATACTAAAGATACCACTATCGCAAACCTAAAAGCTCAACTCGAAGATGATGCTGCTCGAGAAAAACAGGCCGAGGCAAAAGTTGCTCATGAAGCGCTTGAGATCGAGAAGAAACGTGTTGCTGGGCTTGAAGATGATATTTCTAACATTAAGATCGAAAAACAACTAGTCAACGACAGAGCACAGATACAGATTAAAGAGCTCAGAGAAAAGATGGATAGAGAGGCGGAGAATGCTCGAATTGCAGCTCTGGAAATGAAAAATGAGCAGCAAATATTAGAGAGTAAATTAGAGGTTATGAGAGCTAGAGCGGAAGAAGTTTCCTCCGGGGCAACTGGTGATGCGCAAGCAAAACTTTTACGTCAGATCGAAACTCTGCAAACACAATATGCTGTTGCAAGTGAGAATTGGCAAGGCATTGAAGCATCATTAACGGCACGTGCAACTAGCCTAGAAAAGGAAAGGGATGAGGCAACTAAGCGAGAAGCCGAAATTAGGCGAAAGGCCCGTGAAGTGGTATGTATTGTTTGTACATTATTGCCATGGACTATTACTGATTACGCCTAGACACTAAAAGCTAAACGCAATGAAGATGAATTGGAAGAAACGAGGTCAAAACTACCTGACTTCCAGCAAGAACTTGCCGAACGAAGTGCTCAACTAGACAACCTGAAGAAGCGTGCCGACGAGGCCGAAGCTGCTTTAGTTTCAGCCAAAGCCGAATTTGAGGATGAGAAGCAGACATGGAATTCCGAAATACAGCAACGAATCTCGGAAGAGAAACAAAAATGGCTGGAAGAGATTTCTCTTAGTGGTCGTGGAGAGTCACCCGTAGCGACAAGCCGAAGAGGGTTAACATCGGAATATTTGGGTTTACAAAATATGCAATTGAGAAGAGGTTCCGCTCGATCTACAACCGGAGAATTATCAACTCCGGAGAAATTTCTAGGACGTCGTCCTTCTGCACAACCACCGTCCAAATTTCCAGATCATGGAACGCCTATCAGACAAGACTCGACAGCATCCTTGACACATTCCATTTCTTTGAATTCGATTGCTACAAATGGCACCGGGGAACGAGGTGATCTCAGACCACAAACCCCCTCATCTCACCCCCTCGATCCCGACGATTTCTTCGAAATCCACCGTTCCTCCTCCCCCCAACAAATCATCCACGATATAATATCGACCTCGACTGCTGGGGCCGGCCCCAGCGTCCAACTCGTCGAAAGAATGAGTTCGGCAATCCGCAAACTCGAGAGCGAAAAAATGGCTACGAAAGAGGAGGTGGGGAGATTGGCTGCGCAGCGCGATGAGGCGAGGGCCGAAATTGTGAACTTGATGAAGGAGGTGGGGGTTAAGAGGGAATTGGGGGAGAGGGTAGTGGAGTTGGAGGAGGAGGTGAGGGGGGTGAGGGAAAGGTATGAGGTTACGTTGGAGTTGTTGGGGGAGAAGAGTGAGGAGGTGGCGGAGTTGAGGGGGGATGTGGAGGATATTAAGGCGATGTATAAGGAGTTGGTTGTGAGGAGTGTGGGGTAGGGGGTAGCGGGGTGGATGGAATATAGATGTGAGGATGAGGATGAGGATGAGGATGCGAGGATAGAGGACGTGTACTGATAAGATAGATATTTGGAGAATAAATGAATGGATGAATAAATGGATCTATGGATCTATGGATGGAAAAAAACTACATACATATTCAAGAAAATAAGTCAAAGTTTGCATGCATGTATGTATGTGTGCGTGCATAGCATAGCATAGCATAATTCTTTGAATGAATAGAATAGATTAGATTATGTAGTTGTCGTGTCCGTCTAGTGTTTTGTTTACTGTTGTTTACAAGGTTAATTGGTTAGTTAGTTAGTTAGTTTAGCGTTGCGATGATTTTATAATACCTTTTTGGGGGGGTTTTTTGGGTGGAGAGGGATGGGGGTGATGGGATGAGATGGGGGTTGTGAGAGATGTGGTAAGGGATGTGAGGGGATGGGGGTGGTGGTGAGGGTAGGGGATGGGATGAGATGGGATGTGGTGATGGTGATGGTGGTGGTGGTGGTGATGGGGTGGGATGAGTTTAGTAATTAGAGGTTAGGAAGCTTGAAATGAGGGTCGAGAGTAAGCCAGTGAGTGAGTGATTTTCGAATAATAAGATTTTTGATGTTGATTTTGATTCCCGTTGTGATTTCTGTTTTGATGTTGATACATACTTCTGGGAATAGATAGGATGGGATGAGAATATGAGTATTATGTATATGGTGATATGTATGGTGATATTAATATTAATACCTTTTAAGAAACTTGAATGGTATGAGAATATGAGGATGAGGATGAGGATGAGGATGAGGATGAGTATGAGTATGAGTATGAGTATGAGTATATATTATATTAATTTGCTCATCAATCTCTCTCTATCACTATCTCCACATATCTCATGCCCCCAGCCTGAGTCGAAAGGAATATTCAAATCAATTACTCAGTATCAACTGTTGGATTACTTGTATACGGACATACGGACGGACCTAATGATTAGAGTTAAGTATTATGTGACTGAATACTCGTATATATATATGTTTATGTTTCTATATATATATTTACTCGGGTTTATTTTTATATTGTATTTTTATTTCTATTTCTAAGAGTAGGAGTAGTAGTAGTAAAATGTAAGGTAGTTTTGAAGCTTTATGGTGGTTTGTAGTGAGTGGTGAGTGGTGAGTGGCTCGGCTTATATAATCTTCTTTCTGTTGATACTGATGGAGGTACTGATAGTGATCGAGATGGAGATATTGATATTGATCTCTTGAAGGTTCTGGGAAGATGGATATTGGGAAGAGGTGAGAGGTGAGAGGTAAAATTGTTTATCATTGGGGCGTGGAGGGAACACTCCATATGACTTATTCCAAAAGTATTGCACGCACCATAATACAACCCAACCATAATCTCACAATTTACTCCCCTCCCCCTCATTCTTAACCGCAGTCTTCTTCAGCGGTCCTCCAACCCTCCTCTTCCACTCCTCGGACAACGTCTGTTTCTCTACCAAGCTCTTTTGCGTCCATTCCATATACTCCTCTTGCTGTATCCTCCAGCTCTTTATTTCCTGACCTATCCAAGGCGTCAAAGCATCTGCGCATTGTGTCGTCGCTTCTTGTGCTACTAGGTGGCCTATTCCATGCAACACGACTTCTTTGACTTTTCCCTCTTGGACGCCACCGCTACCACCGTGTCCGGAACCTGTTAGAGAGAGTTTTTGGGAGCGGGAAGGGGGGCTGGAGACGATGCTTATGGAGCCGTAGATGTAGAGGACTGAGGGGCGGAGCTGGGGGAGTCGGAGTAGAGTGTTGATTGGTTCGGGGCGGTAGAATGGGTGTTGGATGGGGCTGGTGGGGTAGAGATCTGGGATGAGATCGGGGCGGATGATGGTTTTGTTATCATTATCGGTGGAAAAGGCTTCCCAGGTTGGACGCATGAAGGAGAAACATTCTTGGTGTTTGGTTGTGTTGAGGGTGGTGCTGCCTGCTGGTTCGTGGGGGTAGATGGCAGTGGGGGTTTCGCGGATGGCGTGCTGGCACCAGCGGTCGAGGACGCGGGGATCCCATTTGGAGTATGCTTTTGATTTTCGGAAGGAGGATTCGGCGGCGGTGCGGGACGGCCAGAGGTCGCGACGGAAGGTGGAGAGTTGGTTTGGGTCTGGGTGACCGTGGGGGTTGGAGGCATATTCGTGGATTATGGGGTCTAGCATTATGAGGGTGGTGAGGAGGCGGGGGTGCATGAGGGAGAGGTTGGTGAGCATGTTTGCGCCGAAGGAGTGACCGATTCCGATTATGGGGAGGGGCATTTGGGCGCGATAGGTATTGACCATGTGGAGAAGATCACGGGCGTGGTCTATCCAGGATGCTGGGTGGATAGTGGTGTTAGGTGAGATCAAGAGAAGGGGGGTGTGATAAAGGTGTGACTGATATAGATGGGGTCTTGTACTGAACTACAGTAGAATGGTTGAGGAACAAGACTTGTAGAGCCATCAATCTAATATCCGGAACTCATTGAGAGCTACAAAGACTCTCTGCGCTCTACGGGCTACGTGATCTAAAAGAATGGCCGATATTGACATTTTATCAACTCCTTATTCAATTTGAGCAATGAACTGTCAATGTTCGAACTCGGTCGTGATATTGAACCTGAAATGTTCTAATGAAGCTCTTGCGATCAGAGTTGAAATGGCAAGGAAAGCTTGAGAATAAACAAATCGAACAAAAAGTCCTCACGTACGATCATTTCCCAATAATTGTTCATTCAAGACACTACTGGCGCCTTCTTGAGCCAAATCAGCAATCCAGATACTTCGTATCCTGAAGCCATTGGTTTTTGCGCGTGAATGAATATCTTCCCATAATGGCTCATACAATTCCTATACATCATTAGTAATGGGGTCTTACAAGTGAAGGAGAGTGAGTATATACTTTCGGATATCCATTTGCGTGAGCACCAATTATAGTTACATCTCCTGGTTCTGGATGGGGATTATCTCGAGGTATGTATTGTTTGATGGCTAGATGCAATACATCTTCTTGGGTATTCGCGGTGGCACGAGGATATTCTCGAATATGTTGACATTCAAGGGTATGTTCCTTTATCTCAAAAATTGAGGAGTGCATGATAGTGTGAATATGGCGGATAGATAGATCCTTTTAACTTGGAGGGGAGAGAGGGATGTGTGTGAGAACTTTAAAGGGGTAACGAGAAGAATAAAGGACAAAATAGACTTCGATACTTGATTGGAATAATAATATATGAAAGATTGAAGACAATAATACTGAAGAAGGATGAAAGGTATAGATAGGTACTTGACTTGCCCAGTCGGATATGTCTCGCTCTCTATAAGCCTCGGTTCGGGAATGCTGGGTTATAATTAGTGGTAAAGGAGAAGTGGGATAAGATTATGGCTAGTTACTACCTCATTTTTCATCGCATATAGCTCAAGAGCAGACTCCTTTATTGCCGAGAATGTTCATCGTATTGAGGTATTAGATTTAAGATAAAAGAGAGATATACAATAAACGTAATAAACGTCTGGATTTACCATTGTAATATAAAGTTCAATTGACACGTGATTGGGCGTCAAAAAGCAATTAGATAATCCCTGTCGATTTAGCGTGTTTTCCTAAGGTTTAACTGGACGTGAGTCTAGAGACGCGCATTGGGACCGCGTTTATCGATTTCGATTTTGAAGATCAAACAAACAAATTTACAATATACAAAACAACATATCGTTCGTTATTCACTACAAAGATACCTTTGCAACGACCACACTTGCTACCTGTCAATCAGTTCGTACTGTTCATGTAGAATTTGCACTTCAAGATGACTGAAGCAAACGATAATGGTGGCACTACTCCCCTCCCCATATTCGATGGTTGTAATATCACTATCGTTGTGAGCAAAGTGCTCCCGGAAGCACAAGCAAAACAGGTGTGTCTCGTACCAAATGTTCATGATGCATTGTGCGTTTACTAATATAAAGTTGTGTAGTTAAGAGAGATCCTCGAGGATAATGGCGCTTTGTCCGAATATAAAAAGACAGACGATGGCATGAACTTAGAAGAGATCACACATATTGTCTCCGCCACAACCGACTTCGCAACTTATGATGAAGCAGGTCTTTTACTTGTACCGGTAGTTACACCTGGCTGGGTAACACAATCCCTTAGCAGACGAAGACAAGCACCAATACGACCATTCACCCCCGACGAACGACTTATTTTCTCCAATGTCAACCTTACATGCGCTGATATTCCACAAGGCGACAAAGATGCGATAATTGGTGCTACATTAGCTATGGGCGGAATGGAGAGCAACAGCTTGACTAAACTGGTAACTCATGTATGTGCTCTTAGTATTGATCATCCAAAATGTCAGGCGGCCCTGGAAAAGAATATTCGATGCAAGATTGTGCTTCCGCATTGGTGAGTGTTTCGATCATGGCGACTGTTCACAACTAACCACACATAGGTTCGACGATTGCCTGAAACTAGGAAAACGTATAGATGAGCGACCTTATCTGCTTCCAAACCCCGAAATATTTCGCATGAATCCCGAAGATAACCTGCCAATTCCTTCTTCTGTTGGACTTCAAGGTGCTACTGCGGCGCACCCAAATATGCTCGCGACTCCGACAGCATCTCCCATACAACGTCGTCTGTGTGTCTTTAAAGGCAAGAAAGTGATGTTATCTGAAGATTTGGACCTAGGAAGCCGATTAAATGACTTGCTTACCAAGCTTATTGAAACTGGGGCAGGCACAATCACAACCTCTGTACGCCAAGCTGATATTTTTATCTGCAATTACCGAGAAGGTAGAGAGTATGTTATAGCCTCTCGATCACCTTCGACTCATGTGGGTAATCTCTCTTGGCTTTACTATCTGATTGCCCACGATACATGGACAAACCCGACCAGGAGGCTTCTTCACTACCCTATGCCCAAAGGTGGTTTGCCGGGTTTCGCTGACTACAAGATAACTTTGTCAAATTATGGTGGAGAGGCACGCATCTATCTTGAGAACCTGGTAAACGCTGCTGGTGGTGAGTTCACAAAAAGCATGAAGCAGGATAACACGCATCTAATCACAGCTCGAAAGGCCAGTGAGAAGTGCAATGCTGCTGATGAATGGAATATCGATATGGTCAATCACCTTTGGCTTGAAGAGAGTTATGCAAAGTGCGAGGTTCAGAGATTGACTGATCCACGTTACATACATTTCCCTCCAAGAACAAATCTTGGCGAGGTTATTGGCCAAACTAAGTTTGATCACAAGGCTTTGGAAAAGAAATACTTCCCCAGAGATCCTACTCCAGGTCCAAATAGTCCGAAGCCCTCAAAGATGAAAAATCTAACCATTCGGGACCGAGATGGAGATATCAGCATGGACGGTGAAACTGAGGACGAGGAAGCAGGAGTCATTGCACCTCCTCCAAAATCTAAAGGCAAAGGCAAAATAATCTCTACAGCTTCTACAAATGTTCTCTCAACACCAGCCAGTAAGAAGCGCACATCCCTGAGTAAGGAAAATGACACCCCTTCATCGACCAGCAGTCGAAGTGCCAAAGACAGGGCACTTAATGCGATTCACGGTCTTGCTCCTGATATTGCCAAGTACGAATTGGAGAAGAAGAGGAAGGGGCACGTGTTTGGCGGTGATCGAGCGGCCAACAGGATTGAGAAAGAGCGAGAGTTACAACGCAATTCAAGCCCTATTGTAAAACAGCAGGATGATGAAGAGAGGAGTGATAGTGAGAGTGTAGAGACTGACGTCCGTCCATTGAAGAAAGCAAAAACCGCGTTAAAACCAGAGGTCCAAGTTCGTATGCTTATTACTGGGTACAAGGTTTGGGCTACTGAGGTATCCAAGGAGGATGCAGATACTGTAAGTTGACGTATTTGCATTGTCACAGTCATTGCTAACAATGAACAGAAAAAGCTGCGTAATCTTGGTATCGCCGTCTGGAACAATTATGGAAAAGTCAACATTATGGCGGCTCCCAAAATGGTTCGAACTCGGAAATTCCTCGTCGGTCTCGCACATGGACCTACTGTTGTATCAGACAAATACATTGAGGCTTGTATCAAGGCTGGAAAGATGTTAGACGTTGAAGACTTTCCACTGGAGGATACCGAAAATGAGAAGAAGCATAAAGTCAAATTGAAGGATGCTTTGACTCGAGCCAGAGCCAACAAAGGCCGACTTCTGAACACAGTTCCAATATACTGTACCACCGATATCGACAACGGCTTCGAGACATACAAGGATATTGCAGAAGTCAACGGAGCTACGTTTGGCGTGTACAAAGGACGTCCGACCATCAAACCCACCAAGCCAGAAGACGACGAAGGACCCCCCGAGCCCGTATACTTGATCAGCAGCGACAAGAACTCCGAACAAGCTCTCTATTCGAAATTCGAGGAAATGGCCAAGGCAGGAAACATGGAGCCGCGAATCGTCAAGGTCGAATGGTTGTTGGATGTGGCTATGTCGCAACAAATTAAGTGGGATAAAAAGTATCTGCTAAAGCGTTAAGTTGAGTTAAAGTGATGGGCTAGCTGCGGTAGCTTCATGAAGTAGCTCCTTGTATTGTTGCGAGCGGGTGGCGGGTGGGAGGATGAATGCTATGTACTCATATACCTCTTTTTGATTTTTGTGTTGGACGGATGGATGGATGGATGGACGGGATACAAAAGATCCAAAAGAAACGACACGACACGATGGCTGTTTGCAGATAGGGATGGATCTTGGGTGCTCGATATGTAATGAATGGAATGAATGAATGAATGGTTGGTTGGTTGGTTGTACTTTAGCTGAGCAGATGAGATACCTACCTACCTACCTACCTACCTACCTACATATACCATGATTCATTTTGTGCAAATTATTTAATCCATACTCGAGTATATTTATTGTATTTGCAATTGTACTTGCAGTAAGTAAGTAAGTAGTAAGATTACTTGCAAACCGATGCGTCGATGCATCGATGCGTCGGTTCTTGTGAACAACAAAATATATACATACTCGAGTACTCGAGTAGATCGACTTGTGTAAATACGTGGAAAAAATTGCAGTCCACATGGACCTGGACTGGACTTGGGGTATCTCATAATATAATTACTAACTAATCTACTAATCTACTAACTAATCTTCTGCTCTGCTCTGCTCTGTATATATCAACTATCAACTATCTCCTTGTCTTGACTTCCTGGCTCCATAATTTCATAATTTTGGGTTTTTCCGTTTTTCGTTGAATGCCCATCATGCATGCATGCTTGGAAATTTCATTACTGACTGGTTGATTAATATCCATATCGGGTTGAGGATCCAAGAGCCAAGAACCAAGAACCAAAAACTAAATATGTGTTATAACATGCTACAACTGCGATCCAGTGCCTCACCTCACCTCACCTCATTCCTTTCCAGCCAGCGGGCTAGGTACAGGTACAGGTACATCGCCCAACCCCTCCAAAAACGCATCCGCGTGCTTCTTTGCCCTCTTCTCTCCCAGCACCCTCCTCCTCTCCTCAATCTCCCTCTTCCTCTTCTCCTTCCCCTCTTCCCTCTCCCTCCTGCCCCTCTCCGTCTCCCTCCTCATCTTCTCCAAATTCGCCATTTCCTCTCCTCTCAACCCCTCATCCTTGGAAAAACTATAGAATCCTTGCCCTTTACTCCTAATTTCCGTATCTGCCTCATAGTGTTTCTGATCCGGCGGCGTCGCACTCCTATCTCTTTTGCGAGCCAGCTCTTCCATTTTTCTTTCCGTTTCCGCATCTAGTGTGCTGGTGAATGCTTGCGCTTGAATGGTATCGCCGTATATTAACTGGGAGGGCATCGCGGGGCGCGCGGACATGCGCTCGAGTTCTTCGGCGCCTAAGAGACGTTGGGTTTGACGGCGCTCCATGCGGGATTTCTCGGCTTGGGTGCCCCGTCGCAATCGTCCGTATTCATCTTCGTATTCGACGATTTCGCTATCTGAGGCTTGTCCTCCGAATGAATCGTCGCTGTAGTGATCATCGTCTTTTTCGCCGCCTTCTACCCATTTGCGATCAAAATCTACGAGTCCCTCTTCTTCGTTTTCGTTTTCTGGTCCATGGTGTTCGCCGCGCTTTAGACGTGAATAGATTTTGGCTTTTTCAGTAAGTCGCTTTTTACTTCGGTGAAGAGTATTATCATCTGTTCCCTCGCCAGATTTATTTATTTGAGTATATCCATTCTCATCATCTGCTAGATCTTTAGCGGCGCGTTTCTTAGTTCCTTTGTTATGAGTTTTGAAAATATCTTCTTTGGTTTTTGAAGGCCGAGGACGTCCTCGAGTTGTGGTGGATGAAGGGGCGTTGGAGGCGAGGAGTGACGAGAAGGTGGAACTGAATGCTAGGTTTGTGGATGAGGACAATTCTTTTGCTGAAGAGCCGTGAAGTTTAGGTTTCTTGAAATTGTAGAGATTGTTCGGATCGCTTGACATTTTGTGGTTGTAGGAAGTAATGCGATCAACACTTTGTTTTATGTATCATCTCGTAAGGCTGAGATAATCCGGGGAGCTCGAAAGCTTGCCGCCTCGTCATTTCAAGATTCGCCAATGAGAAATGATAAAAGTGGATATCAAATTATCAACAACAGCAAGGTGGGGCCATCAATATGTGCGAGATCGGATTATTGTGACATAGAAACAAACCCCCACCAATCTTTTGTATTGTGATTCTTCACTCATTGTTCAAACACGATTACCTAGGTAGATATATTCAAGACGAGATATTCATCATCAATCGATTCCAACTTCCAACCTCAATCTCAATCTCAACCTACAACTCAAGTCAAGTCAACATGGTTGCTAAGGAAATCTACATTGCGGTTATTGGTATGAAGCTCCCAACTTCCAAGAGCTTAGCAGTAGCTTCAATTTACTAATACATCATTAGGTGCTGGTGGTGTAGGAAAATGTTTTTTATCCCAACTTGAAGCTCTTTCCCAACGATTCACTTCATCCAAGATTTCCCTCGTCTTCGTATCAAGAAGCAAGAAAGTTCTCTACAGCTCAAAATACACTCCTCTCTCATATGTCGATCTCTCAACAACGCTCGCGGACTCTACACAAGAACCCCTCTCTCTACCAAAGATCATCGAATATTTAGCAGCCGCGCCGGCAAAGGTCGTTCTAGTCGATAATACAAGTTCTCAAGATGTGGCAGATGCATACCCACAAGTTCTATCGAAAGGAATCTCAATAGTTACTCCCAACAAGAAGGCATTCTCTGGTTCTTATAAATTATGGCAGGATATCTTCTCCGCAGCTTCATCGTCTGGTGCTAAGGTATATCATGAAAGCTCGGTCGGTGCTGGATTACCAGTCATCTCTACTTTGAAGGAATTGGTCGACACAGGAGATTCTATAACCAAAATCGAGGGTGTCTTCAGCGGTACCATGTCATTTCTGTTCAACTCATTCGCACCCACCGAAGGTTCAGGGGGAAAGTGGTCTGCGGAGGTCGCCAAAGCAAAGGAGCTGGGCTATACTGAACCGGATCCAAGAGATGATTTGAACGGTCTAGACGTTGCCAGAAAATTGACAATCTTGGCAAGATTGGCAGGTCTCCAAATTGAATCTCCTACTTCCTTCCCAGTTCAAAGTTTGATCCCCAAAGAATTGGAGAGCGTTTCAAGTGGAGAGGAATTTCTCCAGAGGTTGCCCGAATTTGACTTCCAGATGGAGGAAACAAAAAATGCTGCCGAGAAAGAGGGTAAGGTTGTGAGATTCGTTGGAAGTATTGATGTCGCAAAGAAGGAAGTGAAGGTGGGTCTGGAGAAATTCGACAGATCACACCCAATTGCTGCGCTCAAGGGAAGTGACAACATTATCAGCTTCTACACAAAGCGATACGGATCCAATCCTTTGATCATCCAGGGAGCTGGTGCGGGTGGAGAAGTGACAGCAATGGGTGTCACAGGTGATCTTATCAAGGTGCTCGAGAGACTTTCTTGAATAACTGCTGCTAAAATACCATAAAAGTTGTTTGTCGTTCAATCGTCTACAATCGCGCCGCTGTCTCGAGGCTGATCCCCTCGTTCCATTCCCTTCTTCATTTCTTTTGCTGTTTGCTCAACCACTCCTGCTATATTGACCACCCCATTCGCTGAAGGTATCATCAGAATTTTCGGTCGTCCTTGGCCACCTGGTCGCTCACTCAAGCTCGGCGCACGCGGTCGTGGTCTATTTCTTGCTCGTCCACCATAATAAGGTATTTCGTAAGTCATTAAGCGGAATGCGTAAAATACTGCATCATACACAAGAAGTAGCAACCAAGGTCCTATGCATATTATGCCCAGTAGAAACTATGATATGTTGTCAGTTCCCTGCCTTAGAAGTGGACACAAAGTATCTACACACAAACGTATTCATGGCCCAAACTTCAACAAACGCTAGACTTTCAGGAAGAATCGAAAACCACGACATATTGTATGACTCGGTTCCCAGCAAATCCAAATCGACAATCCCTTTGACAACGTTGAAAAGGTGCAGTGGTCTGAAATGTTGGGAGTCGGTACGCAGTTCGTGTTCTCTTCCGTAAGCTGCAGGAAATGCTTGTTGCTGGCGGAAAAGGAAAGGTAGTCGCCAAGTATGATATGAGCCCCTTGAATCACGTTGATATGGGTAAAAATTGAAAAGCATAAAGCATACGAAGATAGCTTTATCATATCATATTGAAATTCGAGAGGAATGAGGAATGAGGAGAAAGTGATGGGTAGGTAGGTAAGGAAGAATGAGAGATGGAATGGCTCAATAAGTAAGTGCTTATAACACCAGGGACGAGACAACATACCTGAAAGATTTTGTATACATATACGAGTACAGTATAAACAAGTATGTACCGGTATATCAACTCCTGGCCAAGAGCTGATGACAACTAACCGTATTGATGCGAATGGTGAATCTCATTCCGAATGAAGAAGATTTACATTCGGGGGGGTTCAGAAAGGTCTTGGAATTTATTGAGATCGCTGTGGGTAGTAGGGAGATAGGGAGGGGTCTCATAAAATAATATCCTGGGGATGATGTGTTATCGCAATCAGAGATGGATGGGTCCGGAATGATGGATCATTTATCGATAGTTATATTTTGTTTGCTTTTTAACAGGGTATAATATATAAGAAAGCTATCTAATCCATCAATTTACGACCTATTATCCTATTATTGCATAAATATACTAAAATAGAATAAGCCGGTGGCAACCACCCACTAAAAATTCATTTTGCCCATTTATTAGGTTCCATGCAAAAAAGTTCAGCCTTGAGCTTTCCGTTATGCTAAAGCCTCGTTTGCACCACATTCACACTCCACTATCTTTTCGAAACCTAATTGTTCCATTATACCAAGGAAGATATCATTGACTGTCGAGGAGCTTTGGAAGTACATCAGTAAAGATGGCAGGCCCACCAAATAAGAAGCAGAAGAGGGAAGATTACAGGACTGCGAGAGAGAACGGCGAGGAGAGTAAGGAGTTGCCAAAGAAGAAGTTTTATAGACAGAGAGCGCATGCAAATCCTTTCTCGGATCATCGTTTATCATAGTATGTAAGCCTCCATTCTTATGTGTGGAGGAAACCCGTTGACCGGTATTAGTCCTGCTTCCCCAGCTCAGATGGATTGGGCTTCGCATTACCCCGCCTATGCAGAGTCCCCGGTAGCACTTGAAGGAACGGAAGACTCTCCAATGGGCCCAGACTCTACTAGCTCAAAGAAAGTGAAGCAAGACGTTGATGTCGCCGATATTGGTTGTGGATTTGGTGGTTTGACGGTCGCTCTGGCTCCTAAACTACCAAATTCTTTAATACTAGGTACGAGTTCCTTGATACGATTACTTTATACAATTCTAACCTTCAACAGGAATGGAGATTCGAGCGCAAGTCACAGAATATGTACAAGAACGAATCAAAGCTCTAAGAGCTCAAAATAAGGAAACTGGCGTATTTCAAAATGCTTCATGCATAAGAGCCAATTCTATGAAGTTTCTCCCCAATTTCTTCAAGAAGCACCAACTGTCAAAGATTTTCCTTTGTTTTCCAGATCCCCATTTCAAAGCACGAAAGCACAAGGCCAGAATTGTATCTACTACATTAGCCGCCGAGTATGCTTATGTGGTTCGACCGGGAGGGATCATATACACTATCACGGACGTTGAAGACCTCCATAATTGGATGATAACACACTTCAATGCGCATCCTACTTTCGAGCGTGTTGCGGAAGAGGAGCAAGAAGCAGATGAATGTGTCAGTATAATGAGGACGGAGACTGAGGAGGGAAAGAAGGTTTCGAGGAATAACGGACCAAAGTTTGTTGCTTTGTTCAAGCGTTTAGAGGATCCTCCATGGTAGTCTGGTAGAGGAGAGATGAAGGGGTGTGGAAATATCTGGAGTGCATCATTTACACAGAAACGACTTTGGAAACCAGTTGATGGTGATTTATGTTCAGTTCACTCCTGATGAGGATTGCGATTGTTGAAGCTCAATCTAGAAAAATATATAAATGGCTGATTCAACTTCTCAACTTCAATAATCATACACACAAGTTTATAGTGGTGATTAATTAATATATGTCATTCTCGTCGATCGTGACTCGTCATTTTCGCATAACCTTACTTGTACAGTAACGTTATGTGAGGTGGAAAGATTACGCGAGGTCCCTGAAAGCCGAAAGCTACAACCCATTGTGAGACCTTGAACTTGAACAGAGCTCCCAAAAAAGTTCCCACCAAAAATGCTGTTCATGAATGCAATCGCCCTTCACAGATTATGGCCCTGAGTCGTCGAGATGTGATCTTAGCTGGTATTGCCGTATTGTTCGCATGGGGATTTGCTACCAATTGGATCCCGACCTTGCGCTGGATTGGATATGCGTTTGTCGCAGGACTCATTGTACCCATCGTGGCGCTCGTAGCTTTGCTACTTCTCACATCTAGAGGTTCTCGATACGGAGAAGAACATACCGTACGCCGACCAAAAGGACCTGCATTTTTGGCAGCGACGAGATGGAAGAAGGAAATAGCCGCGTTACACACACGACAGATACATGTACGAAAGCCGTTGACCCCCGACTCTTTTATAGTATCATGCGCCCTCGACGACCTTCTGGATTTGATACTTCGCGACTTCGTGGCCTCGTGGTATAGGAATATTAGTAGGAATCCAACATTCACCAATGAAGTCGACAAGACGATAAGGTTGGCTCTCGTCAATCTGCGGGATCGATTACTGGCTATAGATCTGGTGGAGGTAGTGACCACTCGGTTTGTCCCTATATTGACAGGACATTTCAAAGAGTTCTACAATGCGGAGGTTGCTATCAGAGGCAAGAATTTGAATCGAAGTGTTACGGAATCGGATGAGCTGGACCTGGCGATAGCGGCGAAATACAATGATGGAAAACTACACTCAGCAGCATCTTTGGCATTCTCAGATACGAAGCTAGTACAACAAGAATATCTGCGGGATCTAATACAAAAGCTGCTGCCGGAAATTTTACCAGAGAATGCTATCGGGAGTCGTGCTGTGGGAGTTCTTATCAGGGAATTGGTGGCTTGTGCCGTTCTTTTCCCCATAATGCAGATGCTGTCTGATCCAGATATGTGGAATCAGATTATGGAGGCATATGTATATACTTTGAATTACTATGGTTTTGAGAAATCGCGCTAATATTGTATAGGGACGTTCTATGCTTCAGGATAGGTCGACTGTGCGAAGATTGCGAGCTGCACTAGATGAACATGCATCACCCGCTCCTAAATCGAACCGCACTGCCCAATTTCCAAGACTATCACCAGGGGATCATGAGAGGAGGTTCGAGAAATTTATTCGTGCGATTCGGAAGACCAACAACCTATCAGATGCCAGAAGATTTCGAAGTGAAGTCTCTAGTCAATTCAAAAGAGACGCTTTGAAGGAGGGACAAGATCTGGTTTACTTGCGACGACTTGATATTGGGAAGAAAATCTTGGATGAAAGGGTCAACCAATTAGCGGCCACGGGTGACCGTGGAGCCCAAGTTTCACAATCGGGACGTAATGGCGTTCAAGCTTCGAAGCTCGAGAATGCTTCACTTGTGGATCTCCTCCATGATCCTTCTGGTCTCTCATACTTTATGGAATACATGGATAGGCAAAATTGCATGTCCCTTGTACAGTTTTGGATTGTGGTCGATGGGTTTCGAAATCCTCTTGAAGATGATGGGGCAGAAGACGAGGCAGTTCCAACTACTGTCGCTCCTTGGACTGATGCTGATCGAACGGATCTTGCCCAGATCAATGATGCGTATCTATCTAAACCAGAACTTAAAGTCCCAGATGCATCGAAACGCCTTGTCCAGGAATTTCTCAAGGCGGGAAGCAAGGCAACTTCAAAGCAATACTTTATGGCTAGAAGAGCTATCTTAAGAGCTCAAACTGCTGTACTTGAAGTTATGCAAGACAAATGTTTCCAACACTTTAGAAGATCAGATCTTTTCTACAAATGTCTCACATCTCAGGAAGCCTCAAAAGTTCGGCAGCCTTCCCCAACACCATCACTCAATATGGAGAATACAGTGCGCAAACCCTCGATAGCACCTCGAGCCAATACTTCCATGACAGCCAAGACACGATCCCCTTCTTTCTCAAGAGTTTCATCGAAGCTCGTTCCCAAGAGATCAGATTTGCGAAGGACTGCCATGTCTTTCACTGATTTGACCACTCATCACCCAGATGCAATGTTAAATTCTCGAAACTCCATAGATGAAGAGGTTTCCCTATTTGAAGATGATGATTTGGACAGCGATGCAATGGCAAATTCAATAATAAGTCTTGATCAGGAGCCGGAAGTAATTGTGCCAGACAATAACGTTGTACAAGCCATGGAAGCAGCGTTGAATACGATCATGGAAGATAAGCCTGACATCGATGACATTCGAAGTTCACTATTTGGTGCCAATGACACCTTAGACTCGCCAGTTCATAGCGTCAACTCCACGTCGAACGATATCTCAAGCAGGAGCTCAATTGATCACAAGCGTGCGGATCTATTTGGATTTGAGAATGGAAAAGGAGTTGACAGAAATGAGCGAACGGAAAAGCCAAGTATAGCATCTCTTGGTCTTGTAAACACTTCATCTAGGATTGGTGTTTTCACAGATAATGATCTATTTGGGGATGAAGAGAAATTCCTTTCTGACGAGCATGACGATCCCGAGAAAGATGAGGATGGAGACATACAAGATGAAGTTCACGAAGCAGCTCCTGGAGATTTGGGTCTAGCGGAAGCTATCACGGTTCTCACCACTGATATTGATCGACTTATAGCTCAGGATGCTGTTGTTGACTCGTTGACGAGGAAAGCCGATCTTACCAATAATACAGCTGAGCTTAGGATTCTTCGAAAGTCCAAAGCTAGTTTAGAAAGAGAGATTCGCCGCAAGGAACTGCAAAGGCAACAATATGTTATTCAAGAAAGTGACAACAGTCTATATGGACGTTCTACGATCAAAATCAAGTCGATCATGGTTGGCAAAGAGGATGATGGTCGAGAGTATGCTGTTTATGTTATCGAAGTGCAGAGAAAAGCTGGAGAACAAATGCCAGCGGCAACTTGGACAATCACTCGTCGCTACAGCGAATTTCACGAACTTCATCAGCGATTGAGAGTCAAGTATCCATCAGTACAACATCTTGATTTTCCACGTAGACGAATGGTTATGAAGTTACAGGGCGACTTTCTTCAAAAACGACGTGTAGCATTAGAGAAATACCTTCGAGAGATTCTCTTATTGTCTGATGTATGTCGAAGTCGAGAGTTGCGTGCATTTCTTTCCCAGAGTGCTCTTGCTCCAGAGTTAGAAGACGGGAATGCTGCCGACAATAAAAAGGACATCATGACAAGATTTTACAACTCAGTGACAGATGGTATGGAGGATATTCTGGGAAATATTCCAGTTCTAGATCAGCTTTCAGTTGCAGGACAAAACTTATTATCAGCAGCCACCAATCAACTCATCACGATGCCCGCAATTATAAGCGAAGATCCACTAACAGCTGCCGAAGCCGAAGCCGAACTAAATGCCTTCGAAGACCGCGAGCTCGAACCTTTTGTAAAACCCATCTGTGACATCTTCCTCGAAGTCTTCGAACTAAATCGCGGCAGCAACTGGTTACGCGGCCGAGCAGTAGTCGTCGTTCTTCATCAACTTCTCGGCGGAACCATTGAGCGAAAAGTTCGCGAAAATGTAAAGGGGTTTATACAGGAAGATGCATTGGTGAAATATATTACGCTTCTGAAAGAATCCATGTGGCCAGGGGGTCAGAGAAAAATGGAAGGGAAAGTGAGAACGCAGGGTGAAAAGAGTAAGAGTCGAAAAGAAGCTAGTTTGATGCTGGCAACGCTTATTCCGGATTTGGCGGGGAGTGTGGTGGGGAGGGTTAATGCACAGGCGGCGAGTAGGAGGGTTTTTGCTACGTTTAATAATCCGAGGTTGAAGTGAGTGTTTTTTTCTTTTTTCTTTTTGAGAGTGTGAGGTGGAGGGGTGGGGTTGGTGATGATTTGGATTAGAATGGATCGAATTGAAATGGATTGAAGCTAATTTAATCGGTGCTTGTAGTGCACATTTGGCATTCACGTTACTCGATGAAGTTATTGATGTTTTGTTTGGGGATTTGGGTGCATAGTCATAGGTATGGGAATAGGCATAGTCATAGGCATTTGTTTGATGGAATGGGATGGAATGGGATGAGTGAGTGGGTGAGTGAGTGGGTGAGGTAGTGTTTAGCAAAGGCGTTGGTTGGGATGGATGAATGAATGAATGAATGGATGGATGGATGGTTTTCGATGCATTTTATGTATGGAGTTTGGAGACTAGATTGATGATTGAGTATGAAGATTGAAGATTGAAGATTGAATGATCTGAGAGTATAGGTTGGTAGGGGGTGTGTTGGTAGGGGGTGTGGTGGTGTTGTGAATGGTGTTGTTTGTGCGAATATGTATATATGGGAATTACTCGAGTATATTAGATTAGATGTTGGATGAATGAATGGATGGATGGATGAATGAATGAATAAGTGGGTAGCCTGAGTGAAAGGAAGAAATGTAGATGAGATGAGATTATTGAATTTCGTTACTATATAGCTTCTTTGTATTGGATTATCTATATACTCGAATAGCTTCTTCTCCTTTCTCCTTTCTCCTTTCTCCTATCTCTATCTCGACTATTATCTCCCTGTCTCCCTGTCTCCCTGTCTCTCTATCTCTCTGTCTCTCTGTCTTCCTCTCCCCTCTCCTCTCTCTCCTCTCCTTGTTCTTCTATCTTTTTTGTATGTAATATATATATATATATATGTATATACTCGAGTACATAAACATCAACCCACAACCCCAAACCACAAATCTAACACAGCAGCCTGACCTGAGAAGAATATATGTCATGTCATATTATTGTAATATACTATCTCAAATTTTAAAGAAACGAATAAATAAACAAACATACAGCTCTCCCTCCCCTTCTCCTTCCCCCTCTCTCACCTTCTCCCTCTCTCCCCCCTCTCTCCACTCCCAATCCCTACCTACCTACCTACCTACCTACCTACCTACCTAACCCATCTCATCCATCCTGCGAACTATCTCACTCTCACTCTCACTCTCACTACCAGATATATACTTATACTCATATTTATATTAATAAATCTCCCCCTCTCACTCTCTCACTCTCACTCTGACTTTCGCTCTAGACACCGATACCGACATCGATACCAACATCCATAAGCATGGATATGCGCTTACATCTCACGTCTCTCCTCCTCCTTCTCTTTTTTTCCCTTCTCTTTTTCCCCTTCTCCCCCATCAACCCATCTCCATCTCCATCTCCATCTCCATCTCCATCTCCATCTCCATCTCCATCTCCATCTCCATCTCTATCCCCACTCATCCAAATCTCCATCCTCACTCATCCAAATCCCGGATCTCCAAATTCCCAAATTCCCAATCTCCAAATCTCCAAATTCCATATACTACTTGTATACAAACCCATTACCCCGCCCTGTCCCCCGCGCGACTAACAGACAGACCTAAGCTAACCTCAAATCTATATCAAACACCCAATACCCCATCCGAGTCCAAGTCCAAGTCTAATAGTTCAATAGTTCAAATGGTCTAATTGTTCAATGGTTCAATAGTCCAATAGTCTAACAGTTTAATGGTTCAATAACCTGATAAATAGTCCAATATAAATCATCGAAAAACTCAATCTATCTACCTTGACTTAATCCAACTTAATTCAACTCAACTCAACTTAATCCCATCTAACCCATCCATCCATTCATCCATTCATCCATTCATCTATCCATCTATCCCATCCCATCCCATTCCATCTATCCATATCCCATCCATCCCATCCTATCCTATCCATCCCATCTATCTCTACTCTACTCCCTCCATTCTACTCCATTCTATATTCTACATCCTATCCACTCCTAATAATCACTCAATACATCCTTCCTCCTCCTCACCTCCCCTCCCCTCCTCCCCCCCAAAAACATCAATTCAAACCTCAACTCAAAATATACAGTATAACGTCCTCAAAATCATCCCATCCAACCAAATCAATAAATACATTCTTCATTCATTCATTCATTCATCCCTACTACTCCTCATAAATGCAATTGCAGTGAGTTCTTTTACTTAAGTAAATTTAAAGATAGTATATTGCCTAAACATAATCGATGGATCAATCACCCCATCCACCACTAGCAATGCAACACTATCCAAAAATCATCCATCCATTCCAAAAAACAGTCATCACCCCCTCTCTCATCCACCTCTTTTAACCTTCCCTTTCTTCATATTCATCCATGCAGATTTCATAAATATCCCTCCCTTCCTATAGATAACCAAACCCCCTTTTAACATTCCAATTTCCAAAAATGGCCACGACATGCATGTAAAATATCATCATTGACCCATTTAAATGAACCCAGCTAGATTATGCACACCCAACCAATCCAATTGCTCCAAATAGTGATACTTCATCTCAGTATGCTTGCTATGCACCTCCTTTCCAAAACGCCATGTTCCTAACCAGGTCAAATATATAGTGATTTCCCTGTCCATTTGAAAACTCCCAAAATTCCACAAATTCTTAACAGAACGCCCATTAATTCAATCAAGTCAAGCCAAGCCAAGCCAAACCAGGTCAAGTCTCAAGATTCAAGCCATACGCATCCACAACTCTCGTCGCCATCCCGATTCGTTATATCTCGTTCAAACAGGTCTGAGACAAGACTACGGTCTTGTAGTGGCGATAGACTGGTAGGTTCCGTCTCATTCAAGTAGATGGTGATAGGCTGACCAGTCGAGTTCATTAAAGGTGAAGCCATACCATCCGATAAGATCTGATGAGCTACACAGTAGGCTGGAACGGTCTGACCACCTCGAGGAACACGACGTTCGGCGACTTTATAGACTTTGGGGTATTGCGGTAGGAATTGAGGGTTATCCTGTTGCGAAGATCCAGATGAAGAAGAGCCTTGTGATTGAACTCCAGCAGAAGATGAAGGTACATCTGACGAATGCGTACTCGTACCATATCCACCACCATATCCACCAGTAGGAGTTGGAAATGAAGTACCGGAAGTGACCGTAGAGGTAGAACCTGCGCTACTAGTTTCGTTGACATAAATGAATGCTTCTAGTAGAGTTCCATTCCAATAACAAAACCAAGGCTGGTCTCCCGCTTGAGCTACCCCTTTGCGATTCATGAAACCAGCAGCAGGCTGTTCCCGCTTCGATTTTGTTGAAAAGGTCTTGTGTGGTAACACGACTACCTTGTTGTATGAAATTTGGAAAAACCAGGCTGGACCTCGACTGGGAAATTCCGAATCATTGACAAGAGTCAACACCTGAGCAGTGGACAAGATCGGTGGTTGGGCGCCATATGGATAGAATTTTAAGGATGCGTCGCCATAGTTCATCATAATTTCCTTGTTGGAAAGTTCATCTCCCCCTGGTATATCTACGATAGACATTTCAAGTGGTGTCGTTGCTATGGAGCAACTCCAAGCAGAGTTTTCGGCCGTGTTCATGATGCAACTACTCTGAGCAGTCGAGGGAACGGTGAGGGGCATGTTGTAAGTTCCCGTTGGAAGCGTTGGGAGCGAAGTAGGTACGTAAGAAAGTGGGGTGGCATCGAAAGTGGTGGTCATGGTAGCAAATACTGTTGTTTGGCTCGTTCTATGTGAAAGTTAGCAACCTTGTCTTGATAGACTTCAAATTAAAACTGACTGGCTATCATCACTATCATTCTGATTGTCAGAATCGTTGTGCTTCGGCTTCAGAAGGGCAAAGACGGTTCCTAGTACGATTGCAAAGAGGATGAAGACCAGTGTTATCAAAACGACGACCCATACAGGAACGATGCCACATAATTTCTTTTTGGCAGCAACCTGCCACTTCTTCAATTGGGGTTTTTCGGAAAATTCCATACTGGCGGTATTGGCATGGTGTGAACTTCGATCTGACATTATACTCCGTGTTGATTGACGTGAACGAGATGAATCAAGATCGTCTTGTGATGCAAATTCGGGATTTCGAGTCGCTAGTCCCATGCCTCCAGCACCAGATATAGGAACAACGGGAGCTGGAATTTGAATCGTAGGCACAGGTAGGGGTACAGGTACAGGTGTAGGTATGGATGTGCGTCGTGATTTTCTCGCAAAAGCCTCATCTGCATATTTAGTATAGGGTGGAAGTTGTTCTGTGTGTCCATCAGGTCCAATAAGATCCGCGGCCTCCTCACCTTCCGGACCTAACCTTCGTTGGTAATCATTATTGAGTCCCGGAAAACCAACCGGAATGGGTGCAACTGGTAAATGATCGGTATCACTTGAGACTGTACTCTGCGGGTACATGCCGTAAGGATGTGTTGGACCGCTTGGACCCGTATACGACATTTCTCGTGGTGGTGCCGGCATTGTTGAAGTTGTTGCTATACTCGCTGTTCTCGCTAATCGTGATTCTTGATTATACATATTATATGGATGCGATGGTCCTGAAGGTCCTTGATAGGGGCTTTCCGGCCTCATCACTGTCAAATCGCTCGATGCGCTCGATACGCTCGATACAGTTGATGCACTTGATGCAGTATATGTCCTTGTTAATCCATTTCCATTTTCATTTCCACCCGGGGATGCGAATGTTGGACCCCTTGACATTTGACCAATTCCACCATCATTCCGTAACGCAAACGAATCGATTCCTTTTGGTTTCGTTGTACTCGAAGGTCTTGGTGGTGGTGTTGATGCTCTCCTTCTCTCTATGGGAGGTAATTGACTTTGAGGTTGTCGTGACGATGGTGATGATGGTGGTGGTGGAGTGTAAGTATTTTGAATTGAATCCGACGGCCTGTAACCACCACCATTTGAGACCCCCATGGCTGCCGAAGCATAATCATCTTCATCTTCGTCTTGCATCTGCATCGATAATCGCGTCGATCTTTGAGAATCCCTCCTATTATGTCCTGTATGTAAAGGATGATTGGGTTCACCCATTTTTTCGATTCAGTGAGCGCCTATAAGATTACGGATGTCCGCACTCCCGAGTGTTCAACACTCTCACGACGCCTCAATCAAACTCCGTACGTACAACTTCAAGATGGTCCCTCTCGTTTTCGCTGTGGAATGTTATATAATTGATCGTCTAATCATCAAAGTTAAGATAGCGGTATCGATATGGGTGAGTTCAATTGTCGTTCGTTCGTGACTCGGTTAATATAAGATGATATATTGTGAATTATTATTGATGTGATGTTCAAAATGAGTGAATGGCGTGGTGAGAATTGACTTCCTTAGGTGAATAATTGGTTTTGGGGGTTTTCCAGGAGAGAGTGTGTTTGAGAGAAGCTGGTTAGGCCAGTGAGAAGGAAGATCGACAACTATACCAAGTTCCAATCCGAGACGATATAATCTCTTCGTCTAAAAATGATTTATAACCAATGATTTACCTAGAATGACTTAAAAGTGGAATGCTTGTAAGGGTATTTTGGGGCTTTGAATATAGACTAACAGTTTAGCAGTTTAGTATAATCACTATTCATGGTTCACATTGGTTTGGATTGGCTTGTTGTTAACATTTAGCCACTTTAATCATGGAGACTTGTCCAAATTAAGATAAGGTTGTAAGACTAAAAGCATATGCTTTAATTCTCCAAATGCTTGTTTGTATCAAATTCTATTCGAGTAGACTGTAAGTCAAAGTGACCTGACTCGAATATATACAAACGAAAGGCAGCTTTCGGAAAATGAGTGGCAATTATCAAATGATTATGCAGGCTAAATTGTAATGTACGGAGTACAAGTAGAGACATGGAAAGATCTCATCGTTAGAATTTCGGTATGTCGGTTGGACTAATTGATAAATGTCTAATTGAATTTTTCAAATAGATATCTACTCTAGAGAGAGTACAGATATTGGAAGGCTCAAGTATGAATCATTTCTTACCCCAGTTCGAAAGACCTCTATCGCCAGCATATCGTCGTGGAGATTGTTTTAAGTTTCCAGGGCTTGAATGGGATAACAATAACAACCTTAAATACGAAATGTCCGATGACGATGCTGATAATATAATGTTATCGAATTGACTGACCTAGAGGTGATAAGTCTGTTGGCACTACCAATATACTCGAGTACGGTATTGCATTTATGAGGTTTGATTGGTATACAATTGCGATTAAACCGATCTCAAGTTATCCCGTCTCGGCGACCAGTGAGAACCGTAGATACACCGAGAAACTGAATCAATAGAATATAGGAAATATAACGTGG